AAAAAACATTATCAAATTTCAGCGACCTTTTTATATATATATTACATAGGTTAATATTTTAGATATTTCACGAGATGTATATTTTTTTTTGACAAAATATTCCTTATTTAGGTCGCATTTCCAAAAAAATATATTATTATTATTATAATTTTAGGTTTAAAATATGAATCATAAAAAATTTTTTCGAACGTATCAAAATACATGTAATAGCTTCCTGAAGTTTAAATTAAATTACTTAGATTTCATTATGCTATATTTGAATCAGTGGTTTAGGACAGACCGACTCGAAGCCTGGGCAAAAAAAAGGGACAAATTATGCAAAATATTTTTAAGAGTCATATTATCACTTTTCTTTCTTTCTTACTTTCTTTCTTTCTTTTCTTTCTTTCTTTTCTTTCTATTATTTTCTTTCTATTTTTTCTATTCTTTTTTTCTCATATATTATTCCCGTCCCATCCGAATTTTTTTAAAAAAATATAAATTTAATTATCTTACAACCTGGAAGAGATAAAAAAAAATTTCTTTAAATACTATCGGCGGAAACCCCAAAATTCTAAGGGCTAGCGCTAACTTTCTAAAAGAATTTTTTTTCTAAATGTTAGAAGCGAAAAGAAAAAACCGCTGGATAAACAATCTAGATTATGTTAGGAAGATAATAATGATAAGAACAAAATATATATTTCATATTAAGATCTCGGTAGTAAATTCCTTAGAACAAAGTCAGTATTTCTATCCTGTTCACGATTTGAAGAAAGAACAGAAAATGTTTGTTATAAAGAAGGTATTCGTGAGATAAAAACAAATTTTAAAGGGACCCATCTTTTTTTTCTGGTATCATAAAAGCCCAGAGTAGGTTTAAACCTACATCTATAAAATATCGCCAAAAAAACTTAATATTCCCTATATGACATTTTTGTTCGTTTATCACTTCAATTATCAAGAAATCGACTTTGTAATAGAAATAAAATGAAAATAAAAAATAAAACGCCACTAGATTTTTTATAAAACAAATAAAGACACTGCTTGATCAATGATTGATTTATGGAGAAAGTCAATAAATTATAAAAAAAAAAATTTTTTTTTATTCATAATTTATTTTTACATTTATTATTATTCATCTTCCTTATATCATAAATGATTATATATTATTATTAATATCATTATTTTTTAACGTGTATATTGTTATAACCTTTTTGATTCCTTTGATTTCTCTTCACATTTTTCCCATTATTCCGTTTTGCCAGATCAACCTCATGCCCAGTGGCGTAGCTAGGAATTTTCCTAAGAGGGGGTCCATACATATAAAAGCAAGGGCCTTCGGCCGGGTTTATCTTATAAATCATAACCATATCTTCGATAATATGTAATAAATATATTATTTAAATGCAACAATAATATTCGCAGTTATTTCCTTGCTATGTTTTGCCCTTTCAGGCAAAACATGGAAATTATAATATAATATCCTTCAACAAACATCAAAACCATAAAAATATAAATATTAATGGTATTTATTTGATATAAAATCCCTTTTAAGTCTTTTGAACGTATAATCTAAAAAAAAAATTTGCTCTGGGAGGGGTCCAAACCCGAAAACTACCCCCGTAGCTACGCCACTGCTCATGCCAATCCTTAATTTTTCATCCCACTTATTTTTCCGGCAAATCTTAATCTATCTTCCAGTGTTGTTAAACGGCTCAGCTAACTCATTAGCAAGAAAAATATTGGCTAAGCCTCAAGATTTCTATAATATATGTTCTAGAACCTTTGTTCCTCTTCTATGAGCAAAATCTTCAGGCTCTTGGAACATTTTTCTGGATGAAGTATTGAGTTAGCCGTTTTTCAAAGATCGGCTCAAAACCAGCTGGTTTAACAAAACTAACCATCTTCATTTTGCGCTAAGATCAAACAAATCTTTCATAATTCCGTTCTTTGGTAAATTTTGTATTTAAAACTGTACACGACATTGAAAGAATTCTATTGGAACTTTCATTAAATAAAATAAAATTGTTAGTCTTCTAATGCAGTTCGGCAAATTTCCCGACAAATACTTTTTGAAAATTTCGGATCTAAGATACCATAATATTTGGTAAAAATTATTAAGTATCTATGAGTATCTTGTGGGCATTTTGATTCATTAAAAAATATGGTCTTTTCTAAAAAAATATCATTAAAACATATTTGTTTTTATTACTTGGATCTTCATAAATATCTTTTAAAAATATCGTTATAATTTACCCTTCATCTAAGGTTCATTTTAAACATTTCTCTATAACACCAAAAAAAATATTTCTATATTTTTTTTTAAATGAAGCTATATACGGCTAATTTTTTATTCCTTCCTTTAAATTATGACAAAATTTTGTTTCTGCACCAAAGTGCGATATTGTTGTTTTTGACAAATTCATTAAAATTTAAAAATAAATTATCCTTTTAATTTTCCACAAGCCTATATAATTTCGGGAAATGCCATTTGTTAAAATTATATAATTTTATCATAAAAAAAATTACAATATAAACAAGAAAAAAAAGTGTGAAAGTGAGAAATTAATAATGTATCATTATTATTAAATTTTTCTCTCAATTACTTGGTGTTAAAAAAAATCGCGAATAATTGCGATAAAATGAAAATAAATCGCTTAAATTTTGAGTTCAAGGGTATAAATTGTGGCGGATTTTATAATGTATGAATTAGAAATTTATATAAATATTAGCACCAACCAAACCATTTTTCATTAAAAGTCATCATTATAAAATATCACTAAAAAAAATTTGATAATCCTTTTTATAATTTGGTTGATTAAGTAAACAAAATAATATAAATTTAAACAATTTTCTATTTATTTATTTTTTTTTATTCATTTAAAATCTGTAATTTATATCTAATTATTACATTATATTTTTTGTGGCCTTATGGTACATATTAGTATAAAAAAAACCTTTCAATGTATTTCTATATAATAAATAATAATAATTATAATTTATTTTAAATAAACTTGTCATTTTTATGTGCAAGAAATTTTTTTTCTGGAGTATCTATTTGTATTCTTGTGAAATTTCAAATAAAAAATAAAATCGATAATTAATATTAGAGATCTGCAAAATATAGGACCTGCCCGTACCAGGCCCGTTAAAAACAATCTTGGGCTAGGTCGCGTCGGGTCGAGTCGAGCCGGGTCGAGTCGGGTCGAGTCGGGCCGGGCCGAATCGAGTCGGGTCGAGTCGGGCCGGGCCGGGTCGAGTCGGGTCGAGTCGGGCCGGGTCGAGTCGAGTCGGGTCGAGTCGGGCCGGGCCGGGTCGAGTCGGGTCGAGTCGGGCCGGGCCGGGTCGAGTCGGGTCGAGTCGGGCCGGGCCGGTCAAGTCGGTTCTAATATTTTTAAGAAAATTCGGGCCGGGTAGGATAGGGCCTTAGAAATTTTTTTAAAATATCTAGAATTTTTTATATAAAATAAAAAATATTTTGATTTTATTTATAGAAGCTAGACGCCATATAACATGTATCGTTTATTTTGATTAATTACAAAAAAATCGATTTATATATTTAAATAAATTCGGGCCGGACCGGGCCGGTAAATTTTTTCGACAAAATTTCGGGTTCGGGCCGGGTTTGAAAAATTAGGCCCGATGCAGATCACCAATTAATATGCGATGTGCATATTTGGTGATGCTTAGAGATTGTATATTAAACGATATAGAGCATTGTTCTTCTATTCATTACATCTGTTTTATTTATATTGGAACTTCCGGAATATAGAACTTAAATTCTAGTTTTATACACAAAATTTTCTTAAGTCCCATTCTCGGAACGTTCGGGAACTATCTGCTACGGGTCCCTGATTTTACTTGTTTAATAGAACGGGCACGCGTGGTGCTCAAAATAAACAAGTTTAAAATAATTTGTCCTTTTTCAAGTTTAAAACGCAATAATTTTATAGAGAAATTTAATTTTAACGATTGTGACCAATAATAATATAGGTAGAAGGAGTAGACGAATTGAAATATTACGATCAGCCATTCCTAACCAGTCAATTGGAATGCCTCCCCGGATGGGAACTCAGAGATTCAACGTGCTACGGATATTTCCCTATACTAAAATCTTGGGATAACGCTCTGTCCGATTGCAAGAGTTACGGAGGCACCCTGGTTAAAATAGATGATTTTGGTCTTAACGTGTTTATCGATGGATTAGTTTCGACTTTGTCCCGCAAATTTCCCGTCGTATTGCCTTACCGATATTTTTGGATAGGTATGTTGCGTGAAAATTTTTTAAAAGATGAATAGGAAGGAAGGAAGGAAGGAAGGAAGGAAGGAAGGAAGGAAGGAAGGAAGTGGGACTGGCAACGCTGGAATATCCTTTCTTTATTGATATTGTGGCAAATCAATATAAGATTTGCAAAACAATAAAGAATGAAAGAATGAAAGAAAAGAAAGAAAGAAAGAAAGAAAGAAAGAAAGAAAGAAAGAAAGAAAGAAAGAAAGAAAGAAAGAAAAGAAAAGAAAAGAAAAGAAAAGAAAAGAAAAGAAAAAGAAAAGAAAAGAAAAGAAAAGAAAAGAAAAGAAAAGAAAAGAAAAGAAAAGAAAAGAAAAGAAAAGAAAAGAAAAGAAAAGAAAAGAAAAGAAAAGAAAAGAAAAGAAAAGAAAAGAAAAGAAAAGAAAAGAAAAGAAAAGAAAAGAAAAGAAAAGAAAAGAAAAGAAAAGAAAAGAAAAGAAAAAATTAATAAATGTTTATATTTTCTTCGGCTTTTAAATATCAAAAAAGGTTTGAAAAGAATATACGATAACGGACCTTATAAAAATGCGCTAAAATGGGCTGACACTTTAGACTTTCAAGAAAATCAAGATTATAATGTTCTAAGTGACAACGAGGCAGCCGTCAATACTAATAAAAACGTGACGTGGATATACGAAGGATTCTGGGGATCGGATCAATTTTACAATCTGACCCATCTTACCTCGAGCATATCATCATCATCTTCTAAACGGCCGCGGACTAAGAGACAAAACTCCGAAGCGCGTATGTTAGAAGAGGATGATGAGGATGTCGACGTGCGAGCGAGTTTGAACGAAAACAACGAGATGGGTTCTTCTTCTAGAGAGGCCAAAGGCCAAGAGGCGTTTCAATGCGTAGGGGTTAGGTTAAGCGGCGATGGTAAATCAGGCGCGGAGGAGAAAGCGTCGGGTTCGTCTACAACACAACTAGATTCCAATTGGTATTTTTTGCCCTGTCGTTCCGTCATGCCGTTCGTTTGCCAGGCCGAGGCGTGTCTCAAAGGTTTTTAATATTTAAGTTTATATGTTTCCCGCTTGTTATTGGCGTGTATGGAGGAAGTGAAAATTCCTTCTTTTTTTAAAAAAAGAATTGATTCTCTATATATTCTCGATTTTTCCTAACGGCAAAAAATACGTTTTTTTTTAAAGATGATTTTACACGAAATGTACATAGAATCTTTTAATTTTTTTTTTTAAAATTTAACTTATATAATTAAATAACGTTTTTAACGATTTAAAAAAAATATAATTTTAGCGAAAATGTATTCCAGCATATAGTGCTGTTAAACTACCTCGCTTTAGCCGACTATAAAACAGTGTAAGCCTTGTATTGGAATCAAAAATCTTCCAATCAATCATCTAAGTTGAGACTCACCTTAGAAGCTTAATTCATTTTTTTTAGGACGGCTAATAGCTTGATTTAAGCCACAATAGGGATGGTCAAAGATAGGTTATTTAACAACACTACCAGCATGTTTAGAATATTTATATTAGGGTTAGGGTTAGGGTTAAATGTTCAAGGCAAAGAATCTACGAAATTCATAGTGTTAGGTATTCCAAAGATGATGGAATACACTTCCGGTAAAAATCGGATTTTGTAAACTTATATCCGGAAGAAAAAAAAGCACATTGCCTTTAAGATATACATCATGATAGGTGATAAATTTATTTTATGATAACGCAGGATATTTTAGATGCCTGGACGGGAGCTGCGTCAGCCAAAAGTATATATGCGATGGAAAATATGACTGCAAGGATAGATCAGACGAAGCCAATTGCGAAGGTATATATTCTTTCCCATGTTTTTTGACATTTAAATATCTACTTTCTTTCTTTCTTTCTTTCTTTCTTTCTTTCTTTCTTTCTTTCTTTCTTTCTTTCATTTCTTTCTTTCTTTCTTTCTTTCTTTCTTTCTTTCTTTCTTTCTTTCTTTCTTTCTTTCTTTCACCTAAGATAGTGTTGTTGAACGGCTCTGTTTTAGCAGATTCTCTGAAGAAAATAATATGTTAACTCAATATTTTAGCCAGAAAAATTATTTTAATAAACCTCGAGATTCAGTTATAGATGTCCACACACACTTCTTTTGTGACCAAAATAGACTCGCGTAATTTTTCTGTATAAAATATGTTGAGTTTAGCGCTTTTTTCTTATAGCGGCTCAAATCGAGCCTACTAATTTAAGTTAAATTTTTTAAACCTATGAAATTTTAAGCTTGACGCATTTGTCGCTAAATGAATTTCTAACAAGACCTAAGTCTGTTGATTATTATCTTAGTCTTAATAGGCACTACCTTTAAACTTCCTAGTATTCTTGTACTTCAAGTTAACTAATGTTAATTAATGCCTTAATGTGTTGTTAACAAATTTTTTTTCCCCGATACTCGCATGTAGTTTGAACGGAATTAGCCGATATTTACCCGTTAACTATAATAAAAATATAGGGTAACGGTTTTGTATTAGTGAATATTAAGTATTATTTTTCTCATTCTGTCAATTAATTCACCTTGAAAACGGGGGTCAATTTTATATTTGAAAGAGAAAAAATGAGATAATATGCCACTAGGAAAGCTATACATTAAAATAATAATGTCGTAATTCCGCCATTCGTGGTTGGCGCGAATTTGCGACGAAGAAGATACAAAAAATACAGCATATTTTATAGCAAAACGAGATATAGAGGGGGGGGGGTAAGTCTTATATTCGATTATAGAGGTGTAATATGGGAAAATGTAAATTTATGAACGGCACTTCGAGACATATATCACTCATTTAAATTATCTTTTTCGAAAAAGTGCGCGATTGAGCTGAAACAGAGTCGCATTCTGCTTCGAGAGAGGAAGGAGTGGATCATAAAAAGCCGCATTATTTTTCTCATTTAAAAAGGAAACTTAAAAATTTATAACCCCCCCCTCCCTAAACTTCAAATAGTTATTTCTATTTATACAAAAAAAAGGTTAAATTAGTTAAAACCCGGCCCGGCCCGAATTTTTTTAAAAATTATTAATCCCAAACCCGGCCCGAAGCCCGTTTGGGCCGGGCCGGGTTCGGGCCGGTTTTACTTTTGCAGATCTCTAGATTAAATATTGTTTATATTTTAATGTATTTTATTTTAAAGATAAAAATTGCCATCATTACCTGAGCGGTGCTAGCGGTTTGGTCAAATCTCCCAATTTTCCCGAGAACTACCCGCCATTGATTAACTGTAAATGGGTCCTAGAAGGACCTGTCGGAACTAAGATAAAACTACAAGTAATTTTTTGTAAATGTAGCCCTAGAAATGAGAAGATAGAGGGGGGGGGAGTTTAATAAAAATAAAATTAATTAAATAATATTATTTTTTTTTGTCATCCTTAATTATTTAATAATTAATAAGTTCGAATACTTTTTGACGGAATTGACATTCGACACTTTACTGATACTGGGCGCCAGTACGAACGAAGCGGAAAGCGTGGAAATCTCCAAATTGTCCGGAAATAAGGTGAACGAAACTTTAACCGAATATTATAGTCCCAACCACATACTCATCCTGAAATTCTCAACGGACGAGGAACTTCAATTTCCCGGTTTTTCGATCAGATGGACAGCCAGTGAGTGAACGAAAATTCTGATTCGTAAATTATGTCGCTAATAATTGTCTTCTTTTTATTTTTTATTAGTTAAGATAGATTGTATCGAGAACTTAGAAGCCGGAAATAGATTCAGGGATTTAAGATCCCCCAATTATCCGCGAGATTACATGAACGGTATGGAATGCGTATGGATCATTTCAACCCCAGATTTGGACGATAACCAGATAATGACTTTAAAGGTTTTCAATTATTACTTTTTTTTCGGTGCTTAGGCCATCATTGGTAATAGTTATACTCTATAAGCATTTTTGGGGGAAAATTAGTAATTACTTTAATTAGAGTGATTATTTTTGTTTCTTCTTAGAGTTCCTAAAATATCTTATTGTTCTATCTGTTATATGCATGCAGGTGTCAGGTTCTAGTTCACATAATCAGCTGGGGAATATATAAAGAGAAGTCTATATATTTAGTTTGTTTTTTCCTAATTATTATTTTTTTTTCCCCATAGTTGAAAATGCCTTTTATAACTTTGGTAGCTGGCACCGTCAAAATAGTTAAATACAAACATATCCAAGATGGTGACCGATTTTCCGACCAATCAAAATTTGATTGATAATAATCTTTAAAAACGTTTAATGTTCTCAAACTATTTTAAATACCTTCTTTCTCTCTTTTACAGGTTCAGTAACGGATTATGATTGGTGTTGTTTCTAGACATCAATTAGGATCTCTTGAGGCTTAGGCAATATTTTTTTCTGGCTACAATATTGAGTTAGCCGTTTTTCACTAATTCTTCTGTTGACAGAACATTTGAAGGTTCAGTTTAGGTTTTAAGTAATTAATAACGGGTTAGATCCCCCTGATTAATAATTCACCAAATTATTATATATATATTTCTTTAAATCTTGTAATAAAAAAAAAAGATGCGATTTTTCGAAACGGAGTCAGACTTCGATTACCTCGAGGTGCGAGATGGCAAAAGCCCGGATAGCCCCTTGTTAGCTACTTATTCGGGCTCGGCTAAACTGAGAAAACTACCGTCATTTATCATATCCACCGGTCCATATTTATACTTGTATTTTTATTCGGATTCGACCATTTCCGGAAAGGGATTCGATTTATCCTACAAAATAGGTTCATATATTTCTCTTCTTGTGTTTTTTTTTAAATATATTTTTATTCATTTATTCTTCCTTTTTTTTCATCTTTTTTCTTTTCTTTCTCTTTCTCTTTTATTTTCTTTTTTTAGTAAAATATTTTTCTTAATGAATTTATAATATAATCCTTAAAATTTATGAAAGGACCAGTTATTTTCATTTTCTTTGATGATTGAAATATGGAAATTATAGCTATAAACTAACCCCGGCTCTTTTAACCCCCTCCCCTTATTTAATGAATCATTTTAAAATAGATGACAAAAAGTCAGTTATGCCTTTTATTTATATTTTTACCCCGCTAAAAGTTTTTAAGATTTTAGTCAAAATAATAGTATGTTAGCCTCAAAATTTGGCAAATAAGAGAGCCAAGCATTTCTGCCATCTATGAGAGAAATCTCCAGGTATACATAATATTATTTTGGCTAAAATCTAAATCGTAGCCGGATGTTCTGTATCAATGGCAAATGATAATACTTAGACTGACGATGCATTCGTTAAAAGTGTACAATCAATAAAAAAAACAGCTATAGACGTCATTTTGGTTACCCATATCATTATTTATTAAAAAAATTTAAACGAGAGGCCAATTCAATTTCTATGTCTGACGCAAGTTTTATTAAAGAATTGCCTAATCATCGAGATAATGAAGGAGGAAGCAAGTTAAAAATTTAATGGTAGTTTTTTAACATGAGAAATAATGACTATATGGGTTACCAAAATGGCGGATCCAGCTGATTCGCATTCAACGACGCTTTTCAAACGCATTATTTTGAATGCATAGTCAGCCTAGGTATTGTTGTATACCATTGTCCTGTATACCATTAAGAAGGATACTATTTAAAATTTTAAATTTTTTTTTTCCTAATCACTAATTCGAGCATATTAGCTATCATCGTAGATTCTTAAATTAAGCTACGGATAGTGTTGTTAATTTGCTTGATCGCAAAATTTACGACCCAATTTTATACTCAGGCCTGTTCTGAGTGTGTTCGAGGTTCGTTCTCAGAGCTGCTTTAGTCAATGGACCCAAACCCCGGCTCTGCGGTTTTACACAACCAACCAAACACTAGCTATAGATGATAGTTTTTATTTTTAAAAAAAAATCTCTCAACGATATCATTTAAAATACGGTTTTTACAGGCTGCGATAACGTTCTCTACGACACTCACGAACTTCTATACAGTCCCGGACAAGGGTTGAGTACTTATCCCAAATTCCAAGATTGCGTTTGGGAAATTGATGTCACCAATACCTCTTCTAATTTGACTCTCTACATAGATAAATACGATATTCATTATACTGATTTACTTAGGGTAATTTAATTTAAAAAAAAATTACTTTAATTTTTCTAATAAGTGATCCTAACAACAGATATCTTATTGTTCGCGTTTTTTTCTTTCTCTTTCTTCTTTCTTCTTTATCCATTCTTCGTAATTTGCGGTAATATGTATAGAGTTGTTAAAACGCGGGTATTTCATCTAGAATAAATAATGCTATGCAACCCTGAAGATTTTGCTCATAGAAGGAGCAAAGATCTAGACATATATTAACGAAAGCTCGAGGCTTAGAGCATTCCGGCTAAAATATTGACTTAGCCGTTTTTTAAAAAAATCGGCTCAAAACGAGCGGTTTAACAGAACTAGTAATATGTTAAAAATGAGAAAAAAAACTTTTATTTCCTTTTTAAAACATCATTTTTAATTTTTTTTTTGCTGGTAAAAACGTTAAAAAAATATAATAATCTTGATATTTTTGAGTAAATATTTGGCTAGTTATATAATTTGAAATTTATCAAAATTATAATATTATTTTAAAAAATGATAATGGCGTTACATTTTTTTTAGAGATACTCTTCAAAAATATCGTATTAAGTGAAGTTACTTCTTTTTTTTCAAAAAAAGTATACTTAACGAATAAAATGAGATCCCATAAAGATCTATATTTCTCTTTTTTAATTAGATTACCTCGTATCAAAGTGGTTTCACCGATAAAGACCACGATAAGAACAAGGAAAATCAAGAAATACTGCTCTTCGATAGCAGCAAAATGTTGTCGGAGGAGAGCCTCCTGCTCAGCAAATTCGTGATCCCATTCGGGAAGGCCAAGGTAGAGTTATTCACGGACGCTGTGGGCTTCGGGACCGGGTACATTGCCTCGTATTCGATAGGTATACCATTTGGCTATTAAAAAAATAATATCCTTTTTTGAATTGGACGATTTATTATTTAGCATTTAACACAACATTACTAGCAGCTTTTATTAAATCTGCTCATCTGCCACGAAGAGTCTGGCTGATAACAGTCAAGGCTGCCCCAACTCCTATCTCTTCATTAGTTCAATTCCAGAACCCTAGTATGGTGCAGGAGTATTTCTTATCTAAGTAAGTTCGTAAATTTTGTTCCAGAATTTCAGCCAAAAAGCAACGTGACATTATTTTGTTATATCTCGCCGCTCCCGCTAACTATGAATGTAAGGGTCATAACCGTTTAAACCCATTTATGAGCTTCCGTTAGGTTTTAGAAAAATAAAGAAGCATTTTTTTTAGTGTCATTTCACCACAGAACTTATTTACCCGCGTGGGAATTCGGAATCTCTTGATTTTAAATCACATTTCCGGTTGAATCGGATTCTGAAATTTTTTTAAATCGCCCTGAGTAAAGGATTCAAAATTAAGAGATTCAGAACCCCCACGAATATTAGCCTTTATTACTTTTTCCAGATTGTCCACGATTAGAAGATTACCTAGACAACGCTTTGAACTCGATGGAACGTAAGGTTAGAGTCAGCACGAACGAGACATCCTTCAAGACTGTGGTAGAATTGACTTGTTCAAAGGGGCACAAATTTTCGAATGGGGATACTAGAATGATAATTTACTGCAAAACTGGCGGTGAATGGAATCTTAAAGCTATTCCCAATTGCATAGGTAATAATATTTAATTATTTATATATATTTTTTTGAAATATAATGGCATTATTTTTAATTTTTTTTTAAATACTTGGTTATTGATAGTAAATTTTTTGGGGGGTAAAATAGATGAATTTTTGATGGGAAAATATTTTAGGGTTAGGGTTAGGGTTAGAACTAGATTTTAGAATATTAGAAAATATTTTGGGAAAATATACCCTAAAGCTTAATTCATTATTATTTTTTTTGGAATTATGATGTCCATTCTCTGTTTAGTTATTATTATTTTTTTGACGAAATCAGGGTTCCAAAGTCGAACCGGTAAACCGGAAAGAGCCATTATAATTTCTGAACCGTAACCAACCGAACCGTTATAAAGATATAAAATGAGCGGACCGAACTTTTTTAAATATTTTGACCCGGTTTAAACCGGCGGTTTTTAAAAGTAATTAATTTCAAATTATTAACCCTAAATTTGATATTCCTTGGGGGGCAATTTAAATTCGTGGATTTCCTAGAATTCGCTAGTGTTGGTGAACGGCTAGATTTGAAGCGATTTTTAAAAACGACGAACTAAATATTTTAGCCAAAAAAAATTATGCCCAAGCCTCGAGATGTCGATAATATATGTCTGTACCTTTGTTCCTTCTATGAGAAAAATCTTCAGGCTTGGGTAATATCTCTCTGGATGAAGTATCGAGTTAGCCGTTTTTAACAACACTAGTCTAAACTCCAAGATTTCGTTAATCGAATAGATGTTGTTCATATCTCTGGGCCGCCCTAGGAGAAAAATCTTAAAGATTTACATAATAATTTTCCTAATAAAATAATGAGTTAGCCGTTTAACAACATTACGATTCGTCGTTATATTCGTAATCGAATAATACCAATTTTAATTTTTTTTTTCTATACTTTATATACACAATTGATTCGGCAAATTACTCATTTAAAACAGTTATCACACAAAACTAGGGCCGCTTTCGCAGTGGGAACCTATCTGACAGGTTTTAACAGCTGATTGATTTTTTGTTAAAAATCTGTTTATGAGATCAATTATTTTTTTTAAAAAATGATATTAATTTTATCTTTAATTCTTAAATACATGATAATAACCTAATAAATATTGGTTTAAATAAAAGAAAAATCGATTCTCATAAACCGATTTAAAAGATCGATCAGCTGTTAAATAGTGTCGTATCTGATCCCACTATGAATGCGGCCTCAAAGTTATACTTGCTTTTTTTAATTTAGGGGGAAAAAACATAACAAGAAAGAAAGAAAGAAAGAAAGAAAGAAAGAAAGAAAGAAAGAAAGAAAGAAAGAAAGAAAGAAAGAAAGAAAGAAAGAAAGAAAGAAAGAAAGAAAGAAAGAAAGAAAGAAAGAAAGAAAGAAAGAAAGAAAGAAAGAATTTTTTTAATGGAAAAATTGATATAAAATTTTAAAAACCAAAAAATACTATTCAATATTTAATATGGTGAAAGACACTGGAATACAATTCTTGGGTCCCTTATCGAAGGATAAAATTAATTATTTAGTTTCAAAGAATTCCATAAACGCCGAGCTAGTGTTTGTTAAACAGCTGATTTTGAGCCTATTAATTTTAAAAAAACGGCTAACTCAATATTTCATCCAAGAAAAATATTACTCAAACCTGAAGATTTTTGCTCATAAAAGGTAATAAAGGTCTAGCACAATCTCGAGGTGATTTTTCTGACTAAAATATTGAGTTAGCCGTTTTAAAAAAAAATAGCCTCAAAATCAGCTGCATAACAACACTGCGAGCTATATAACTATACTACATAATCAAAAATATTTATTCATCTCTAAAGAAAAATGCTAAGAGTTAGGAAATAAAAAAATGATTTTGATTGTATCGACTTGATAAAATTTTGTTTTATTTTTCTCACTGATATCTTATATCATAAAAAACGTTACTAAGCTCAAGAAGAAGACACCGGCTGTGGCCCAGTCAATCAAATTCCCAACGCGATAATATACGGTGCCAGTAACGTCAGCGTGGGCGGCGTAGCTACCCATATTTGTCTCGAAGGATTTACTTTTCCTAGCGGAGAAAATATCGCCTACAGCGAATGCGATAAATTTGGTCACTGGCAAAATCTGCACGAATGCATACGTATAGCAATAAATATATTTTAACTTTTACCTTAACTGATCCTTAAGTTTAAAATATTTCAAATCAGCATATGATTTCCGGTATATTTCTCTTTTTCTTGATATTTTTTTTTTGATAATTTTGGACTGGAAAATCAAAGATGTCAGTTTAGATTTCACATCTGTTTTTAAATGTTTTTCTAAAAAGCGATTAAAAATTGTAAACCGCAATACCTGCTGAGGAACGGTTTTATAACGCTGGTTAGCGGAAACGGAACATCTAGCGGGACCATACTCAAGATGCAATGTTTTAAGGGGTTCTTAATAACGGGATCGCCCATCACCAGATGTGTCAGCAATGGAAAATGGTCTCACAGGTTGCCTCAATGCCAACGTGAGTTAAAATTTCGTAAACGTCAATCATAATGAGGGTTAAGGATCGAGATTTTGGAGGCCAATCTAAATATAATACTAAGAATACTATATTATTCTATACAAACATGTTTGAGGAATAAACACTATATTGTATGATAGACAGCTGTCAGAATTATAAAATGAGATTTGCTATAAGATTAGACATATAATATTTAAACTTTCTTTTATATTTTTCACATTCCTTCCTTACATCATTTCCATGGATATGTGTTATATATATATATATATTTATTAAGCCATCATATGCCCTTTGCCGCGCGTCGAAAACGCTTTTATAAAACGCAATTTCAACAGTAAAGCCGGCGAAAAATTTATATACGGAAGATCTGTTCAAGTTGTATGCCATCCCGGATATAGAATCAATGGACCCGGCGCTTTGACTTGTCATCCCTTGGGCACCAAAAAGGATGATAACAGAGATTTTCTCCCCAATGCCGATAGTAAGAAGGAATCCGATCATCTCCAATCCTTCTTCACGACCTCCATACCTACTTGCGAAGGTTATTTTATTTTTGGGCTTTATTTTATTTTTTTAAACGTTAACCTTTGTATAAAAAAAAACGCAAATTATCATTATAAACTTAACCCTAATATTTATAAAATTTGCGGGGAAAATAACTTAGTAGATAGCCGCACGTATAGGGGTGCTAAATTCTTATAAAATTGTAATTAAATATATTATATAATACTTTATCCAAACCAATGACATATAATAATACCTGGACTGACGACGCAATTGTAATAAAAATATTGCATTTAGCGTCGTTGAAATGCAAATCAGCTGGATCCGCCATTTTGGTAACCCGTATAGTGATTATTGCTCATTTTAAAAAAACTACTATACATATTTTTATAATTTTCCTAATTTTATGAATGATCCAGATCGATGTTATTTCAAAAATTAGTTAATTTTTTTTAAAAAAAATGGCGTTTTCAGCTGTTTTTTCATTTATGTACATTTTTAATGAATGCATCATCGGTCTAGGTATTATTATATGTCATTGATCCAAACAAAACTATTATCCACTTACATAGTATACTCTTTTAAATAAATCAAATTTAAAGGAAGAAAAAAAAAATCCTTTCTAATTTTTTTTTATAATATAAATGCAAAGATTTTGAATCTAATCAAATGTCTGGCGTTCTTTAGAGTCAAAATCAGAGTTTTGGATCCCTTGACTAAGGTTCAGGTTCGGAAAGTTGTTGTGACTCCGTTTCCGGTTTTAAAAATTTTGAAAAGTGGACTCTACTTCCTGTTTCCTGAATTTTAACCATGTTCCGGATTATTAAGCAAAAAATATAAGAGTAAATTTAGTCCAAGTTTAACAAAAAAAAGTAAATCACAGAATTAAAATATACTCAAAATAACGTATTTAAAAATTAATAAAGATATCGACGAATGCGGCGAAAACCCTTACATATGCGATATAGGCTCCACTGAGTGCTTAAATCTGATTGGCGGATACGAGTGCTTATGCAAGACTGGCAGGTTCTACGACATCGGCACCTCTACTTCCATAACAGGAAGCAACGAGGATTCTGTTTGTAAGGTTCCTTCTTATTTAACTACTAGCGATTCGCGTAACGGAATTCCGCTTAAGGGGTCGGATAGCAAAAACGTTAATCTTCTTGCCGGGATCCCAGCGATGGCGGGTGAACAGACAGATATCGACGAATATTTTAACAGAATGAAAGGTACATCATTATCATTGAGGGAAGGGGTGTGAGGGGGGGGGGTGATTATAATCTATGATCAGCTGTTTTTCACATTCCTTATACAGTTCTTCGCTTTCCGTTACAGTTTTGTTTGTAATCATTTTGAGCTATAACGATCCAAAAATGACAAAGTTTTTTTTTTAAATTTACGTTTAAAAAATTTATTTATCACGGTTGCTAATATTCACAAAAATATGTCGATCGAAATAACATATATGGCTCGTTTTGAGCCGATTATTAAAAACGGCCAAGCCAATATTTTAGCCAAAAAATAATTGTCTCAGCCTTGGATTCGGTATTTGATATCTAAGAACCTTTGTTGCCCTCTATGAGCAAAATCTTCAGGCTTGGGTAATATCATTTTGGATAAAATATCGAGTTCACCGGTTTTAAAAATCGGCTCAAAATTGAGCCGTTTATCAACACTATTTACAACTTTCCCCCTTAGTTTTATTATTTTATATTTTTCAAAAAAAAAAAATCCTTTAAGTCGTATTACTTAGCAATGCTCATACGACTTACAAAGTATACGATCTTCGAAACTCTTTCCTGAAGTGGCAAAGGAGTCCGTTCAACGAGCAGGATTCACATTTTCCCTTCATGTGGTGCCTAGATCTTGGCTCCGCCAATCCGGAAGAAAAATTTATTCACTCCAAGATCAAGGTATGAAATCGTTCGAATACTATAATCACTACCCAATCACCTCTCTTTTTATGAAAGGATGGGGGATTTTGATCAACAATTTCCTTTATTAACATGATCTCATTATATTATCATCTATTAGAAGCGAATCAAAGATATATTATTCTTATAACTAGAAACCTGCCGGCCCGGCCATAAACCCGGCCCGGCCCGACTCGTGTACCCGGGCTGAGCCGGACCGTATATTTTAAAACCAAATATTTGAAATCGTCATTAGCAAATAAAAAAATAAAAAATAAATATAAGGTGTTTGCGAAAAAAAATTTAGCTTCCGAAAAATATAATTTTCATCCGAAAAATTAATTATTTTTTATTATTTTAGATAGCTTTGCCAAATTCCTACGTAATGGGTAAGATGTATATGCAGATACAACTTTTTAATTCTCAACCCTTAACAGAGGATTATCCCATAGACGATTTGATACCCTACAATATTATTAATAACAGCAGCATGATTCCCTCTCGAAAGAACGCGGCAGAAAGGCTCTTGACGGAGAGTAAGATATCCATGAAATACAGCAAAAATGGGCTGGACTACTTTTGGCTAACCAACTCTACCGCGTTTCAAACTCCTCTGTCCATAAATTTACGGTCCTTATATTTGGACGACCAAGATTCCGTATTTGGTCACCCACTTAAAAAGAGCAAGTTATCGAAGGATAAGTTTTATTACTTCGACTTTCGCGAAAATTCGGCATTCTTAGAAGCCAGCCACGTTGAAATCAACGTGTTATACCCTAACATCGACATCGAATTCTACCAAAATAAGGTGAATATTACCACCGTGGACGGTGTTTACGAAAAAAACGCTGACGCCGTTATGAATGACGATATCAAAAATGGACCTTGCTTAGCGTTCGCGTTAAGCGGCTGCAGAAGATACGAATGTCCTATTAGTAAATATTTTCACCTTACTTTAAATTAAAGTTTTAACATAATTATAATGAATGGGGAGGTTGGCAGGGAGTTGATGATTTTGAAATTTTTTGACATTTTTACACTTTTAAAAGAGGGGATGCGGAATCCGCTGGGATTCTGAATCTCTTGATTTTAAATCCTTTGCCGAAGGCGATTTAAAATATTTGAAAATTCGATTTGACCGGAAATATATTCTAGCCATATGTTGAGTATTTACTATAAATTTCAGCCAATTTTAGGCCATAGACATCATGAAAAATCCATATAAAACTTAATATAAATTAGGAGTAGTTTCTAAAGATCATTGCAGAAATTGTTTGAAATTTACAGTTTGGATGTAGCCTGTTCTACACATGCCGAAATACGATTCCTGTAAAATCAGATTATCTCAAAATCTAAAAATCGCTCTTAGTAAATTATTTAAAATTGAGAGGTTCTGAATTCCCACGGATTCTATATCCCCCATACTACACATATATAAATATGTGCGTTAACGTCAATGTATGTTATTTTTTTAAACTTTAAATCATTTTTATGAGCGTTTTAAAAAATTTAAAAAACTTGATTTCACCGAAAATGTGTTCCATCATGTTTGGAATGCCCTACACAATTTAAATTTCGGACAATTTTCCCGCGAACATTTAAACCTAACGTAATTTATATTAGAATTTTCCAAATATATATTTTTTGTTTCACCTGTAAATTATACAATGACATATACAATACCTAGACTTGACGATTCATTCGTTAAAAGTGTAACATCGATGCGAATCAGCTGGAGACGCCATCTTGGTTACACTAAACATTTTTTAAAAATTTTAAACTAGAGCCTAATATATTCCTATAATCTGAATGCGTACTTTATTAAAGAATCACCTGATCATCGGGATAATAAGGAAAGCAAGTTATCAATTTAATAGTACTTTTTAAACATGAAAATAATTCACTTATATGTGTTTAACCAAAATGGCGGGTCCAGCTGATTTGCTTTTAACTACAAAAATGCATTTTAATGAATGAATGAATCGTCAGTCTAGGTATTATATTTAGCATTGAAATGACTCATGGGTTTAACAGCAAAATTGTCTACGATTCATAAGATAGGTATTCCAAACATGATGGAATATATTTCGAGTAAAATCCGATTTTTAAATTTAAAAAAAACGCTCCAAAAAATGATTTCTAGTTGTATAAATAATACATTGCCGGAAAAAAACAACATAACAATAATCGTTTCTTGATTTAAAATATTACATGATATTTTCTCCGTCATTTAGGGTGGGAATTAGGGGGTTAGGAGGATTAAAATTGCTGTATTAAAATTCATTAAGCGGTCATTTTAATTTTTTAGGAAAAATATAAAGCATTTTAAGTATTCGATTGCTAAATAAAGGTTTTTCAAGATTTTACAATTATTATAATATAATATAATCAATAGTTCCTAATAATATTATTTTTTAACTGGTAATGAAAAAAACAAATTTTAACATAAAAAACATAACTAAAAAATAAAAAACACAAAATACGCTTTTATAATTTAAAAAAACTGATTATTTGTTTTAATTAATAACACGATTGATGAAAGGAATTTACGATAAAATATTGATAGATTATATTTAAAAAAATTTAAAAATGGCATGTTGATGATTATTTATTCCATGAGGATTCTTTTAAAAAAACAGAAAAAAACAATGCGTGTTTTTTTAAACTTTGCTTCTTCTTATCCTCAGGTACGGACCCGTGTTCAAACGAAAACAAAATGGCGGGTTGCAGCCATATATGCAGTCCCGACATAAGGAGTGACGTAGGATACACGTGTTCGTGCCCTCCAGGTTGGACACTTTTCATCAAAAATGGAACCGAGGGCATAACCGTACCCGTTGGAGAAACCGGGAAAAGCGTTAACGACATATTTCGAATCAACCATACATGCATACGTTAAGATTATTCATTCATTCATTTACCAATTTATCATTTAGAAATGACCATTTATAATAGTTTTGAATATGATGATAAATGTTAATTTTTTTAATTGTGGATATAAAAAAAATTTATCATATGATATTTTATTATAATAATTTACATGTTTTGTCAACAAACAGGTAAATCCTGCGGCACATTCCCTTTATCGAAACTGTCGCATGGTCAGCTGTATATCGAAAGAGTCGGCGCCGCCGTAAACGGAAGCAGTAGCCCCTACATAGGCTACCCCGAGGAAAATTTGAAGAACATTAATTATTGGTCGAATCAAGAGAGTCTGTATTACTTTCAGGATAAAATAAAATTCGAATGCAACGTTGGGTACATTATCAGTGGCTACGATATAAGCGAGTGTTCTATCCACGGTACTTGGACCAATCTAAACCCCGAGCCACATTGCAATTGTAAGTTTAAAATGTTATAGGAAAAAAAATTTTTTTTTAGATCCTTTGAGAAGTAAAAGTTGTAAAACAAATGAAATAAAGCAGTTGTAGTGAAGGCCCAACCAGGAATGGTTCAGAAGACTATATAAATTTCTAAAACGAAAATTAAGCAAGCTAACCCAGCTCGACTTTCATTTGTTTTTTTTTCATAACCCTTATAAATAAGTCAATGATATATGATAATACATATGAAAGCGTCAACAGCTGGACTCGCCATTTTGGTAAACCATATGGTAATTATTTTCATGTTAAACAAAACTACTATTAAATTGATAATTTGCTTCCTTATAATCTCAATGATTACGGAAAGATTTAGTAAAGTTTGCGTTGGCCTTTATATTTTTTTAATAATGATAAAGGGGCAAATCATAATGGCGACCCCAGCTGTTTTCATTGATGGACACTTTTAATGAATGCATCGTCATAATGTGTCATTGAAATAAGTAGTGAATATATTTAAATAAATTAATTATAAACTTGTTTATATTTTATATTGTTGTAAATTAATTTTTTTGATATTTAATTTTTTTTTGTGTGTGTGTGTTTGTATGATATTGAAAACTTTAATAAAAATTTATTTTGGATAATTTAAAAAAAAAAATCATACGAGTTTTTTTTTTGATTGACGTCAAAAAATATAGCAAAAAATTGTCTTAAATTTCCATTCTTTTACATAAGATAAGAATTTATTTTAAAACAGTGTCATTAGTGTTGTTAATATGCTCGTTTAGAGGCATATGTTAGCCAAAAAAATATTGCCTAAACCTGGAGATTTAGCTTAATAGATGTCTAGACCTTTGTTCCTTCTATAAGCAAAATCTTCAGACTTACGTAAAAATTCTTCTGGTTAAAATTTTGAGTTAACCGTTTAACAACACTAATTGTCATAAATCATGAATTATAAACTCTTTTTTTAAAAAAATAAGAGTTAAAAGTTAAAATGTGCTTTTCTGTCTTCGAAGAAGCATTTTAAAATATCTCTGGGTAAAGCATTTTCAAAACTAAAAATTTATGAAAACTTTGGCTTAAAAAAAATATAAATTTATCTTAAGATATTAGACTTGTTTTTTTTTTCAAATTTATCTATAAAAACAATTTTTAAAAATCTCTTTGAAAGATGGTGCAATTTATATCTATCATTTATCTTATAAATTACTATTATTTATTATTATTAAAGTCGCCTTCTGCCAAACTATTAAAATTGACGACCATGATTCGACAGATTCTGAAGGAGGTCTCAGCATAATATCCGGAGCACCTTTCGTCAGTTACGGTTCCGCTATCCGGTTTGAGTGTAAAACCCCCGGGTTTTCGATAGGCAATACGGCCTACAGCGGTCACCGGTTTTGTATGTACAATCCAACATCGAATATGTCCGAACACCGTGGTATGACCGGAAAAAACAATGATAAGTTGAGCAAAAGGCAAACGTACGAAAATTCCGAATACTGGATTTCTGGCACTCCACCTAAATGCAAACGTAACATATAATACATATTTTTACATATTAAATCAGCAACCCAACTGCACTAGTTAGGGTCATGACTTGTTGATTTATATTCATATATGTAAATTAGAGATCAGCAAAAGTAGGGCCCAGCCCGTACCCTGGGCCTATTCTTTTTAAAAAATCCGGCCGGGTATTTCTATATTTAAGAAAATTCGGGCCGGGCCGGCAAAACTTTTAAAACATCGGGTTCGGGCCGGGTTTGACAAATTAGACCCGATGCAGATCGCTTATGTACATATTCAATGTTAAAATCTATAAACAACTTTAAAAATCATTCCTTTTTTTCTCTGATTAAATTAGATCTTCATGAAATGAATCGACATTATTTAATATAAGGCGCTGTCATATATCCATCATCACTACAGGTTTTTCTAATTCATTCTAAAGCCTAATGATTTTCATACACCACACTAGCTCGCGTCAAGCCTTTATTTATCAATTATAAGAAGGTATTTAAATCACCTCTCAAACCCGTGTTTTAATATATATTTTTTTTCTTAAAAAGTCATAATCACGAGATCCCTTTCCTTTTGATCCTCCAGGAAATTTTTTTTTTGGGTTTATTCAATTATTAAACAAACAAACAAAAATAAAGCTATCGATTGCGGTTCGCCCCCTGTGATGTCCCTGTCCCATTACCGATACACGGATGATCAAATCGGACAAATTGACGGAATCCCGACAGCTAAAACGAGGAACAAGTATTACTACGGTTCCAGTTTTGAATTCATGTGCCTCTCCGGTGGGATCATACTCGGACAATCCTCCAAAGGCGACAACGTAGTGCGGTGCGATATCGACGGAATATGGGATTTTGGCGATTTAAGGTGCAAAGGTTTGTAATCAATTTATTATGCAATCATTATTTCATTATGCTTTACTAGACTGGACTCATTTTTCATATATTACTATAAACTGCTCGGCGGTAGTCACTCAAAAAAATCATGGATGCCTAATTGATTCGTTTTGATGGACGTAATTAACATTAAAAATAATATTATTAAAAATGTAAAATTTATTTGTTTTAGCTTTTATGATGCGTTTGATTCAAATATTTTATATTAAAAAAAAATTAAGAAAAACTTACGTTTATAGGGTTAATTCGATATTTTTAACATAAATAATAATGGTTTAAAAGTCATTTACATTTTAAAGCAATCGTTAGTCTATCTATGGTAAAAGAGGCATGTCCAGATTATCATGAACTACATTACCTAAAATAATTTTTTTTTAAATGTTATTTTATTAATAATATGAAATAGTTTACTTCAATCTTTATAGTGAGAACATTAAGAGTTTTTCAGATTATTTTTATTACTCTAATATAAAATATATTTATATAAATTATATGAAGGTCCGGCATGCAATGATCCAGGAACACCTCTGTATGGCACGCAGATCTCAGATTCCTACGAAATAGGTTCTGTAGTTAAATTTGCGTGTAACAAAAACGGTTATTTCCCTTCATTCAAAGCTATCAAATGTATTATGAAAGAATTGGGTTAGTAATGTTAATAAACCTACCAATTATACATTAAATACCGAAAAAGTAACGTATTTGTAGTAAATTACAACATTTCCAGCTTTTTTAGGCCCTGAATAGCAAAAAAAAAACAAAACCATTTCGTGGTGTAAACGGCTCGTTTTGAGCCGTTTTTTTAAAAACGACTAACTCAATATTTCATCGGGAATGATATTCAAGCAAGCCTGAAGATTTTGTTTGTAGATGGAACATAAGTTTGGGCATCTATTATCGAAATCATGAGGCTTAGGATAATGTTGTTAAAAAGCCTGATTTGGGTAACGGCCCGATGAAGATTTTGGATAAAATAATATTAAGTAAGCATCGTGAATTGGCAAATAGGTTTCCAAGCATTTCTGCCAGATATATGCAAAATGCTTACATAATGTTATTTTGGTTATAAACTCAATCGGACCCTTTTTTAAAATCGATCCGAATCTGGCCTTATAACAACAATAGCTTAGGAAATATTTTTCTGGCTAAAATATCGAGTTAGCGGTTTTTAAAAATAGGCTCAAAACAAGCCGTTTGACAAAACTATATAAATGAATTAAAAAAACCGCCAAAAAAATCTTAAATCCGTATTTAAACGCCATTTTAAACTGCGAGAACATATATATATATCCATCTGCATATTTTTGATATTTAGCGCGATTCAAAAATAATTATAAAATAAATTCATACAAAGAAGAATTTCAGAAATTTCCCAATAATTTTTTTAAATTAATATACTTTTTCAAATCTTTTAATATTTAAAATTACCACCCATTTCAGTTTTTATAAAAATGTCAATCATATTATTTTCTAATATACAGAAAAAAAAGGAAAATAAAAGAAAACTTGTGGAAACCCCCCAAAAATTTTAATGAGTTAGGGAAAAGACTCCATATGTTAATTTTTTTTAAACGTTTATTTTAGATAATCACACAACTATGATCCCAATGTGGAACATTAGTAATAGCATTCCGGTGTGTTTGGACAAGCAACCTCCAGTTTTCTTGGACAACCCTCTTTGCACTCCAGATGTTGGAGACCATGATACTACTACATCTTCAATCAAAATGAAGGAGTTATATTTGGTTAACACCACCAATGGTCCTCAATTCGAAAATGAGGAAGACATGCCGGCTAAAATATTGTTGAATATTAATCAATTCCGAGAAAAATTTGACGAACGTGAGAACGAGGTTGGACTTTACCCATCCATAGTGGCCAAAGATAATTCTGGAAGAGTAGTCAAGTACGAGATCGACCCTCCTTATTTCTTGCCTCCGCCGTTTCACGCCAAACAAAACGACATGGTAGTGACTTACAAGGCGTACGACGGAGCTGGTAACGTGGGTCGTTGCCGTTTCAAGATAGTTATCAAAGGTTTTATTTGCAAAATTCATTATTTATTAAATAAAAAAATATACTATCCATGACATCTGTAATTGACAGATTCTAATGTTTTTGTGTCAGGGATATAGGAAGTCCCAGAATTTTCCCAAAAAAGTGTCATTTTTTTTTAAAAAAAAAAAAAGCAAGGAAAGAGAAGGGGGAAATTTATTTTAAAAATTATCCAGCATATGCTTGGGATTTCTTTGAATGTCTTGAAATATAATATTTTGAAAATATCGGAGTTGGAAGCTTTTTTTTTCAAAATCTAATTAGAATAGGAACGGGAACCAATAGCCAACAACTAAATTTTAATTTTAGAAAAACTAGAACTAAATGTAACAAAAAAAATACTCTTATTCCCAGTTTCAGGGGTTCAAACGAACCATAATCCGGGGTAAGGAATATAACTCCTATCATCTGAAATTTTGATTTTCTAGGGTTCCTACCACCTCGGGTTCAAAAAATATTTCGAGTCAAAGTGTTGTTAATAAATCGGTTCCCGTTTGGGACCATACACTTAAGATATCCAATCAGACATGATGTGTGCCTGAGTCTAGTCCTTAAAAAAATGTTACTAATACACTTAAAAAATGTTATATAATCATTAACACAGACATTACTCCACCATTGATTACTTGTCCTCCGAGCTATACTCATTACCTTACCCTAAACGAGTCCCTGTATGTTAGCGACGAAGATATGAAAACGGATGGCGATGAAATGTACGATAGTAGTATGTCTTCCATGGACGATGATTATGAAAATGGCGATAATTTTGACGGCAGGAATCCAAACTTAATCTGGAAACAAATTCAAAAACCCTCAACTTTCTCTTCCTCATTGCCAAACAACAATAATAATTATCATCGTCAAACTAACGGTAATATGGAAGGCAGAATGGTATATTTCGACGTTGGTTCAAAGTTCCCCATTTCGGCGGTGGACGATTCGGGGGATACTCCGGTTATAACGTACAACTACGAAAACCCACACAAGGTCGCAGTTCCTGTCAGTTCCTTCGTGCTTATAGTAGTAACGGCAACTGATAAATCAGAGAATTCTGCTTTCTGCAGCTTCCACATAACGGTCAAGCCCAATCCTTGCTCCGGTGAGACATTGCTTTCGACTTCCATAATGAACTATAAATTCTATAAGGCCAAAACAAATTTCGTAGCGCAACCGTTTTACAGATGTTATATCAGGCCCAGCGTCAATGGTAAAGATAATAGAAACAAAACTATTGTCCCTGATGACAGAAAACTCCCCTTTTATAGTGCCAAGGGAGACGGATCCCGTTTTATGGGTAATTCCGATAACATATTTCGAACGCTCTCCAAAAGAGACGTTATTAAACGTAGGGATGTTTTGAATACCGAAAGTATCAATGAAACCATATGCGAGTTCAAATGTCCTGAAGGGTATATATTTCTGGCGGACCTTTATAACAGGAAGCACCAGTATTACTATCGCAAGCTCTATGGGCACATTAATCTGGACATGAGAAAGAGCTTGTCTTTGGTCAAAAAAATCGAATATAAATGCTCTAAGTCAAGTAGAAAACAATGGTCTCCTCTCAAATACGTCCCCCTCTGCATTCAATTTCACAGTAAATTTTATACCATATTCAAAGAGTATTTCAATAAAAATTTCTTGAACATTATGATTCCTTTATCTCAGGATAAATATTATATTTTGTAAAAATTAAAATGTGAATTCAATATTTATAGAAGCCTTAAAGCCATCCCACACTATTACTATGAGCATCCAATACAGATCTGCAAACAACGAGATCGAAATAGCGGATATCAGCTGTTTAAAATATTATAGGGATATGTTGATTTTGAGCGGAAGAATCAAAAAGGTGAGTCAAGATTTAACGGAAGTCTGCAAGAAAGATGGAATTAACTCTATTCGCGTCATTTTTAACGACATCGACATCGAATTAAATCATGCTACAGTAATATTTTGTTTCTTCTACACAATATTTACATTGACAAACAAAGGTTGTTAATTATTGAAATATATTGGTCCGGCTTAAACCTACAGTTATTATATATTCCTGAAAGTTACTTTATATTCCCATATCCCCTAAATCAATTATATAGACCAGAGACCTGCAGGCCCGGCCATAAGCCCGGCCCTATTTTAAATTTACCCGAACCGGACCTGAAAACTTTTTTAAAAAAGATATCCGGGCCGGGCCGTAGGCACTGATAATTTTATTTAACAAAACCGGGCCGGTCCGGAAAAAATTTTGTTTTTTTTAAAAATCCGGGTCGGACGCTAAAAATGGTATCTCTGCAGGTCTCTGATACAATTCCATACTTTGTCTCATATAGTTACAATATTTCCCATAGATTTTTTATCTTTTAATTACTTTTTACAATTCATATAAACTCTATTTATTTCTTTAATGACGTATCTTTACATATAAATATTTTTTTTTAAGGCCATAGTCCACTACCATTTCTTGTTGATGGAAGATAACCAACTATTCGAAGATAGAACCTTGTTACCTTACAGCAAAGATAAGCAGCGGGACTACCCTGAAAAATCCGATTTCGACTTCAAATCGATTAACAAATGTACATCGGCGCTGCAATTAGTGCTAGATTTAAAACTCAGCGAGATCAGATCTCTTATGAAATTGGATTTAAACATGAACTCTATGGACTATATAAGAGGAAATTCTAGGTGCCCTCCCAGGATATACGCTTCGTACACGCATTTTTTATCGGGCGACGACTGGTGTCCGGCGGATTATGTATTATACAAATATTACGATTTGAACTTCAACGGGATGGCCGGGGTATTGAGCGATCAGGCATCATCTCAAGAGTTGCACAATAACGATAAATTGAATAATAACCTTATGCTCCTCACTTCGAACTCTCAGAACATAGCCATCAAAAGATGCAGTGAGAAACATAAATTTTATCTCGAATCTTCTTCTTCCTTCTTTTATATACCCACTCTCTAAGTCTTCCAAATAATATTATATTTTTTTTATAACATTTATAACTAACTCTATTTTAACAAGAACGCCAAATTAAGTCTAAAAAAAATATCAAATATCAATATATCAGTTAAATGTCCTATGGGAACCTTCAGTACTAACGATACCTGTGTTTCCTGCCCCATAGGGACTTATCAGGATAGAATCCATCAAATGAATTGCAAAGTTTGTCCTGCTGGGATGTCGACCGAAACTTCAAATATTTATAACATCGACCAATGCAAATGTTAGCTGATACGATATACATTTCATTTATTTCATTTTAAATTATATAGTGTGACAGTGCTCACTCACGATATTTTATGTTTTTTTTTGAATATGTTTTTTCTGAAGTGATGTGTATCCCTGGAACTTACTCTAGTTACAGTAATAATGACGATGGTATAAGAGGAGGTAACGGGGGTCTAATTCCTTGTACGGCGTGCCAGAAGAATACTTTCAGCCGTCTCTACGGTTCACCAATATGTATTCCTTGCCCGGGACAAAGAATAACTTCGGGAATAGGAGCTAGTAGCAACGATTATTGCATCGAACCCTGCCCTGCAGGGTTTTATTCATCTACAGGTTTGGCGTTTATTAAAATATTTTTCCTTACAGTTACAAGTTAAACAAATATAAAAACAACCATGTATCTAGTTACTTTTGAATTATTTTTTTAAAAATAAGACAATTCCAGTAATTTATAAAAAAAAAATTCAAACTGCCTACATTTTTTAAAAATTTGCATTTCCCAACAACGACACTGATAACCGCATTAGGTCAGATGCCTTGTCAACCTTGCCCCAAGAATTTTTACCAGCCAACCCTCGGGAGCACATTTTGTCACGAATGCCCAGATATATTGAGTACTGCCACGAGAGGTTCCAACAGTTTAGAAAAATGCTATTCATCCTCTTCCGGTCACCATAGTAAAATGACAAAAGCCGAACCCAAAAGAACGTTATTAAAATTAGAAGATAGCGCCCATTTAAATAAAGATGACTCCTTCAATAATATTAATGTCGAAACCGATAACTTTGAGACACGACGGCAATTCTATGATAATTCTAACAATAGCATTTATAGCTCGGATGATCTGGGTAGGCTCTACGAGGGAGAATATTTTATGGACTACTACGCAAATGACAAGGAACATTCGAGGCCTTTCAATGCGTCAATTGACTTAGGTACGATGAACGATTTGAAAGGTAATCTTCCCAGAAGGTATCCAGATGTTGCCTATGAATTTATCAAGATACCAGGCTTAGGCTCGCGTGTAGCTTGCGAAAGATATTGCTGGGATATAGCGGTAATTTTCAATTTCCATATTATTTCATTTTTAGGCAATAATTGAATGCATGTTAATATTCGGTTGAAAAAAACATCCAATATATTATTTAAACAAAAAAAAATTTAAATACAAATACGTAAAAACTTTAAAGATATGCTCGGGATACAAATATCTAGAAAGTTTAGACGTTTGTAAACTTTTCAATATTCCTAAAATGATTACTAATCATCCGAACGATGCCAATCGTTCTTCTTACCAAGACGAATTGCACCATGCCTCTCAAAAAGTAGTAAAAAGGCACTTGTTGTCGCAGGAAAAATTATTGAAAAGATCATCTCCATCTTCAACAACAGATAAGCGTATAATATTGATAAGAGACTTAACGGGAGCCCATTTTTGCTCGTTCCAAAACATGAAATTAGATGATGTCAAGGGCATCGATAATGATTCGCGAGCATCGTTCACTAACTATTCCATGCTCGAGAACGTAACACAGTACGTGGGCTGCTCCAACGGCAAAGTTCTGACATTCTTAGATGTAACGATGCAAGCGATCCTCAAAATGCACCCATCTATAGAAAATGCGGGATATGGTGGCCGAAACGAAACCGTTCACATATCTAAATATATATCGGACCTCATCAACACTTCGTTTGCTCGGTTTGCCCCGGTCTCTTCCCAAACAACGAACAAATCCCGAACTCAATACATATCGACCTACTTGTTAGCCTCCTCCCATTGCCGTAAGATTTTCGATTCGGTTTCTCAGATTATTCACGTCACCGAAGAAGACGGTGCCGGCGAAAAAAGGTTCGATCTGGACGTGCTATTGCGAAATTTCGATTTTTCGCGCTCGTTATTCGAAGAACCGGACTCGCTTCGAGGTATTATTTTTTTTCGCGCGAATTCCATATCTAAGAAGAGAAAAAAATAAGTTGTCGTTAAAATAATGAATTCTTACTTTCTTTATATTTATTTGATTTTTTTTTTTATATATATAAATAGGATCCATATGTCAGGTATACTCCAAACACGGATTGCTAGATAGAATAAAACTGAAATGTGAAGGACAGGCGTCCTGCGTCATATCCTATCCAGTACACTGTTTAACGGAGTTATTGTCCCCCCACTTGAGATGGATGGAAGCACAAAACATATCCGATATCTTGGGCACCAGAATTAAGCTGACGATGGATTGCGTGTCCAATCCTTGCGATAGAATGGGAACCAATTTCTGCCTCAATGGAGGAATCTGCAAAACTGGTTGGTTTATTCGATATGGTTGACATGTTGAAAATATCTTATTTGTTACGATTCTGTTTATCGTGTTTTGTTATTTTAAAGTTTCCAATTATCGCCATTATTATGATAATATTTCTTAGAGGTTTTCTTATTTAGGGAACCTATCTATTAATTTATAATTAATTTTTATAAGAACCAATAAAATTAAGGTGAATCCATAAACTATAGATATATTTTTTTTAATTTTTTTTTTTTTACCCATGTGTTTCGAAGTGAATCATAAAGTAATCTGCGAGTGTCCGTTAAATTACGTTGGACAAAAGTGCGAAAAATATGTATCCTTCTGCCTAAGTGCGCCATGTTTAAATGGAGGCACGTGTTCGGATGCTAAGACTTTGGAGACCATCTTACCCGAATCTCACCAAGATTATAAAGACTTCAACACGCCAAAATACGTTTGCAAATGTCCAGCAGGTAATATATATATTATATTATAATTTTCTATATTATTTTAATCTGTGGATCGATGTATTTTAAAATGAATGAATATTAAGGGATTTTAAATTAATTAATTATTATGGTCATTACGCATATTAATTAACTCAGGTTTTTCGGGAGATTTTTGTGAGATCACGAAAGATTATTGTTCCTCGAATATCAGCAACAACCCATGTTTGAATGACGGAATGTGCAAGAACGAAGCCACCGGGTACTCTTGCCTATGCCGGCAAGGCTTTATAGGGGACAATTGCGAGATGGTTTCGGAAGGTTGTTTGACGTTCGATCCTTGCAAAAACAAAGCAACTTGCAAAAAATTACCGTTAGGTCGTCACAAAGTTTGTCAAAAAAAAAAAATTACATTATCATTTGCAAAAATAAGCAAAATAACTTAATTTTTTTTTTATAGTATAAAGTATGACCAGAAACCGTAAAATTTTTATGTACTAGTTTCATGTCCAGACAATAAATTTTTTGTAACCTCGGTTATAACCTGGCCAAGCAGATTTCTTAAAGTAATGATTATAGTATTTGCCAGGTGTTTTTTAAATTTCGAGTGTAAATATGGAGGGGTATAAGAAATTTGACTTCCACAGGAACCTTCAGAGGCAGAATTATATAATGCTCGGCGATTCCCAGGCTTGTAATAGAGGCGACCCTTAAAATTGAAAGCGACAAAGCGCAAAACTAATTTGCAAATATTTTAATATGATACTAAACGAAAACGGTAGAATGGCGCCAATCTGAGGCAATGTCATTTGAAATTCATTATTTTGCCAATCGACTCAGTGTCAAAATGGCGCGAATTTAAATTAGGCTTTTAAGATGGGTGGGAGTGGGGGGGGGGAGTTAATCTAGACTCGTTGTCTTCCAAGGATAATATTATTTTTTTAAATGTTAATTAATAAATAGTGTTTGTGTTCACCCGGATGGGAAGGCGAATTTTGCGATAAAAGCGTGGATGACTGTTTGGAAAAGCCGTGTGGTCTCAACGCGAAATGCGTAGACGGGCATAGACGTTACTATTGCAAATGTCCTCTAGGGTTCACGGGAATGAGGTGCACCGTTAAAATATCCATCTGCGCTTTGGACAGGAACAATCAGCTGTGCAACCCTGCGGGTGGTGTGGGTAGCTATATTAAGCGAGGCACTTGCTACGATACTCCTCTAGGATACAAGTGCATGTGTCGGCCGGGATTTACGGGTATATCATTTTTTTAATTGTATTATTATATAATAGAGAAGTCATTGTGTCCTGATAAATTTACATTATGACATATGATAAGATATCTTTTTTTTTAAAACATAAATATCCTCGAATAACATCAAATTTAGAGAAATTAAACGCAATATTTTTTACTTATTTTTCTGCATGTTTTATGACAGCAAAGCAATTTTAATCTCGAATACAACTGGTTTCACAAAAATTTAATTTTTATTCGAATTATTTTAATATCGTGGTTTAGCCATAATATGTTTGTTTTTTTTAAAGTGATAGTGTGTTACTTTTAACGAGCTTAAATCCTTTATTGACCGCGTCTTTCTTTATTTTAATTTGAAAAATTTTAATCTTTGGTCCGGAATTTTTTTATCAACTTTTTATGTCACTTTTTTAATTTATTGAAACTTTCTTAAATGTATAAAATGAACTTTAAAAAATGTTTGGATTCGAACCGAACCCGAACCTGGAGAAGAAAACCCGGGTTTTTGGATCTGAACCCGAACCAAATCCGAACCCGTTTACAACATTTTCAAAAACCCGAACCAAACCCGGTAATTTAATTTGAACCCGGGTTCAACCGGGTTCAGTGTATTGTTTGAAATCATATATTAAAGATATTTGTACAATCGTAAATACAAATATTGACAATTTTAATTGAGATTTTATGGTATTTCCAAATTTATAATTAAGTGAAGTTGTTAATAAATTTTATTAAATTCATCTACGCCATTTATTTTTAATTTTTAACTATAATTCTCAAAGATTATTAATTATATAAAAGTGAACAAGTCAAAAAAGAGAACAAATATTATATTGGATATTGTTAAGCAAATAAGTCTAAATTATAATTTTTTTAAAATTTATACATGACGGTTTTGCATTTTTAACTATATTTTGCCTATAAATAAAATAAAAAAAATTTATTTTTTATACCAAATTTATGTATAGTTTTTTTTAAAAAATTATTATTTAAAGATAGAATTATTTTTTTTCATCAATTCAAATATTCCCAGGACCGAGTCGGTTTTAAAAATATTTCCCTAACTAACCCGAACTAAACCCGGGCTAAAATTTTGTCGGTTTGGCATCCCTGTTTGATACAAATGATATCTATAATTCATAAAGTAAATTATACATCCGACGTTAGAGTACATTTTCGGCAAAATCGGATTTTTAACATTTTTGAAAATACACATCTTTGGATATTGACCCTAACATTTGCATTATCATAACATAATATAATCCATATATTTTATAGGCAAAAACTGCGAAGGCATGATTGATTGGTGCTCTTATTCACCTTGCCAAAACTTGGCCACTTGCCTGAATAGTGGATTCTCCTTTAAGTGCATATGCCAAAAGGAATTTACTGGTATTAATTCTTTTTTTTTTGATAAATATTGTATTCTACAACATGTTTTAAATTTGTGGTAGTCGATGATATCAAAATTTATGTCATATTTAAAAAAATTACAAAAATTAAATAATTCTTTTTTTTTTGATAAATTATTGTATTCTACAACATGTTTTAAATTTGTGGTAGTCGATGATATCAAAATTTATGTATAATTATTAGTTTAATTAAAATTAAACCAACAAATATTTAAAAAAATTACAAAAATTAAATAATAGTTTTCAAAATATATTCAAAATGTATGAACATTTTTTTTTTAAATTAAATATTTAATAAATTTCATATTAAAAAATATTGTTTTTTTTAGTATATTATAATTTAACCTTACATATCAACTCCATCATTTTGGTCTGGGAGAGGTCCAAACACTAAAACCACCCCTAATTTAGTCCACTCTTTTAGGCCCGATTTAGATTTTTATTTCTGATTAATTTTCGGGCCAGGCCTGGAATTTCCAAAAATAATTTTGGCCGTATTTTACAAATTTTTTCGAGTCGGCGAGGCCCTATCTTAACTATTTAATTAGGGACGGGTTCGGTCTGCACGCTTATTATAAACCTAATCGATTAATCTAGATACACTGGATACTATGAGAAGTGATGTTTTCACTTTAAGAAATTAACAAAAACAAAATATGAATCAATTCTTTTACACATTTTTTCCAAATTTTGATAGGATCATTGTGTCAGCACAATGCTGAGGACTGTGAACAGATACCTTGCCTAAATGGCGGGAGATGCGTTAGGCAACCGGACGGTAAAAAGTGCGTATGCCCATATGGCTTCACCGTAAATATTTTTTAAAAAATAATATATAAGTTTATAGGTCATAATTTTATATTAGACTTAATAATGCTAATAGAGTTACAATTTACTTTTTATTGTAGCTCAAATAATAGTAATAAAAAAATTAATATCCACGAATTACTTTTATAATTTTTTTAATTAATTATAATGAAAAATATTGTCAAAAAAAAAAAAATTTCTTCCACTCATTATAGGGCGAGAGATGCAAAGATACCGATGAGGCTTGTTCTATTTCATCGTGTTATCCCAACAATACCAAATCCTGTATCAAAGTGAATACCAACGAAGCAGCCGCTGGCTACATATGCGAATGCAAGAATAATTATAGCGGCGATTATTGTGAAAAAAGCTTGACTAGAACATCTTGGGATGACGGTAGAATTGATCCCTGCTTTGGAGTCGTTTGTGAAAACGGTGGGAAGTGTGAACCCAAATTAAACATTACGCGTGAAGTACTTCTGATTCCTTCCAACATTAATAAAAGCCAACAAGAAGAAAACTCTGATAATACTTACCTTTGCATGTGCGCATCAGGGTGGGAAGGAAAGCATTGCGAAAGAATGGTATCAATGTGTCACCTCAACAGGTCATCAATTTATGAACATGGCTCAACCATCTTAAGTCATTCAAAAACAACTTCTGGATCTGGTTCCCAAAACAACCGTTGTTCTCTACCCAACACTCCATGCTTGGACTTGTTTCCCAACGATTATTACTGTCAGTGCCCGATTAATTTATCATCTTTTTCATCGCCAAATTCGCACCTATATGTCCACGACAAAACGAGATTCCCTAAGGATAGATGGATTTTGGGCAAGTCATGCGATATAGTTGATCCCACTAACAATCCTTGTTCCGGCAATCCTTGCATGAACGGTGGAACTTGCAATTACTTTGCTAAGAATCGCCGTTACAATGGTGGCAAGGCTAATATCAACAACGTTATGTATACGGTGACGTGCACTTGTCCCTTAGGTTCATTCGGCCAATACTGCGAAATTAAGAGGGACCCCTGTGAGGCTAAACCATGCCAGAACGCCGGTCGGTGCGTCAATACGAATCGAATAGATCACGATAGAGTGACCGTTAACGCCGAGAATACGACCGTCCCAAAATCTTTCCTAACATCTTACATTTGCGAGTGCCCAACAGGGTTGACAGGTTTCCACTGCGAAACGAACCCCAATGATTGTAAAAGCTATTCGTGCCCGCCTTCTAGTATACGACTCATTTAACATATTCAATATTAATTACACAGTATTTATATAGTTTCTCGAATAATCAACATGATCAAGATGATAACATTTTTTTTTATCCTTCGATTTTTTCCGGAAATATAGTATTTTTTTTTCAACTATAAATCATATTTCGAGCGCGTTTTTAAGAATTTTTAAAATCTGATCCTACACGAAAAATGTATTCCGCCATGTTTGGAGCACTTACCCTACGAATTTAAGACAATTTTTTTTTTCTACGAAACTTTAAACTTAATATAATTTATAATAAATAATAAATGACTAAGATAGGTATTCTAAAAATGCTGAAATACAAGTCCGGTAAAATCCAAAATTTTATATTTAAAAAAAAAAAAAACAAGTTTCAAAAAAAAAACGATTTAAAGTTGAAAAAATACGTTGACGCTAAACACATGTGTATATGTAATAATAAAATAATACAGGTCGTTGTATAGATGGTCTAAATACCTTTTACTGTGAATGCCCGCTAGATAAGTCCGCTTCAATGACAATGTTTACCCCATTTTCTCAGAACTACTCGCCTAACGAGACCCAAAACACCAAAGATTATAAAAATTGCGATAAATCCCTGACCGATAATTTTGACCTCCTCTTCTTCGACGTTTACAAAAATGGTTCGGCCACTTTTATTTTCCCACAAAGACTCAGCTTATCCAAGGAATCTCCCTCTTTTTCTTTGACCGTTTGGGTCAAATTTAGCGTTCCGGAGGATTCTGGAGTATTCGTGACCTTGCTAGAAGTTCCCAAAGAGGAAGTAGATTCTACCCTGACAGATGTGTCATACCGTAGAGAGAAGGTTCTCTTAAGTCTGGATCATTTTGGTATCAGACTGGCTTTATTCGAAACCGATAATGAATATTATTACTCCTCCAGCCAAACCTCTGAGAACGATAATATGGGAGGGAAAAGTAGAAGGGGATCTAGGAAAGAGCCTTCATCCGGTGGTTCTTCATCTTCACAGCTATTCATTCCCTATGATCCATTTGTTATAAATGACGGTGCATGGCACCACATTACGTTCGTTTATTTGAAAGGGAAATATGGGATTATAGTAGATAGCGAGCCTCTAGCACATGGATCGTCTGAAGATGGTACCATAATTATTTATATAATTATATTAAATTTTGAGTTAATTTTAATAAAGATTAAGCTATAAATTTAACCCCTTTCCATGCCAAAGTCCCATATATTTACCTTATCGTTGAATTATGTATAAGAAGGCTTAAATCGCTAAATATTTTTAACATTGAATCTTTGTCTTTTGACTTATGATATATTTATACAAGGCACAGTAAACTAAATTTTGATCATTAAATAATGTTATGAAAGAGTATTACACGCTGCCGTCTTACGTCAGAATAGTGCTAGGAGACCCTAAACGATATATAACCAAAAGAAATTATAGGAATAAAATGGGGCAAGGATTCAATGGCGTATTGACTAGCGTGCAGCTGTGGGGGAGACCATTAAAATTTCCCGAAGAATTGGATGATGGAGTAAATTTCTTCTACCTATAATATTATCATAGTGTTTTATTTTGACCAAATGTTTCTTAACCTAAGAAATGTGCTGTTTATACATAAAAATTAAACTCCTTTTTGGGCCTATATAAAAAAAATAATAATATCATTTTTTTTAAAAAATATATATTTCAATAACACGCGTATACGCAGGGCAAATGTCGCAATTCCATTACCTCTAAAAACGCTTTGATCATACCATGGAGCGCTTTCACTCAAAGAATAGATGGAAAAGTCGAAATATCTTGGAAGGACAGTTCAGCGTCATCTTACTGCTTGAACGAAGATCAGACCTTCATTCCAGGAGTGAGTATGGATTCTGTCAAGCCCAGAAGCAGGATGCCAGTATTGACTAGAAGGCTGGATAATATTCGAATAATCTTGAAGTTTCCCAAGAAAGAAACGTTAGTCACTTGGCAAGAACCGGTGTTTTTAGATTCGCAGGGAAGGATCACCAAGATTGAACAAAATTACTTCTCAGGTGCGTGATATTATAATTATCGGCAAGTAAAGTAGGAATCGGCCAATAATTTAAAAAAAAAAAATATCTTCAAGAAGCTCATAGAATACAGCAAACTTAAAATGAGAGTTTAAATCCAAATAGAAATTAATCTAAATATTTTGATAGTTTTGTTAAAATAGGTTCCCATAACTTCTGTCCATGACCAGTGACATTTTTTTTTGATAAGTATATTACTGTAAACGTATTTTAATGATTGATTCATTTTTTTTTAAATCTATAAATTAAAATTTTAACACTCGATATTTAATTTAACCCTTTCTCGTGAAATTACTAAAATAAAAAAATATCTTTTAAATAAATTAAGCCAGACATTAACCAATAATAAAAGTTTTTTTTTTTAAAAATAGAAATTACTCTACTATTTCTTATTATTATTTTTTTATAGTCGAATCTTAATATAAGATTAAAATAAAATACTATAAAAATTACAAAACTATACAATTAAAGATACAATTTTTTTTTTAATTGAGTTCCTAATTTAAGCCTTTCCGAGAATTACTAAAATAAAAAAATATCTTTTAAATAAATTAAGCCAGACATTAACCAATAATAAAAGTTTTTTTTTTTTAAAATAGAAATTACTCTACTATTTCTTATTATTATTTTTTTATAGTCGAATCTTAATATAAGATTAAAATAAAATACTATAAAAATTACAAAACTATACAATTAAAGATACAATTTTTTTTTTAATTGAGTTCCTAATTTAAGCCTTTCCGAGAATTACTAAAATAAAAAAATATCTTTTAAATAAATTAAGCCAGACATTAACCAATAATAAAAGTTTTTTTTTTTTAAAATAGAAATTACTCTACTATTTCTTATTATTATTTTTTTATAGTCGAATCTTAATATAAGATTAAAATAAAATACTATAAAAATTACAAAACTATACAATTAAAGATACAATTTTTTTTTTAATTGAGTTCCTAATTTAAGCCTTTCCGAGAATTACTAAAATAAAAAAATATCTTTTAAATAAATTAAGCCAGACATTAACCAATAATAAAAGTTTTTTTTTTTAAAAATAGAAATTACTCTACTATTTCTTATTATTATTTTTTTATAGTCGAATCTTAATATAAGATTAAAATAAAATACTATAAAAATTACAAAACTATACAATTAAAGATACAATTTTTTTTTTAATTGAGTTCCTAATTTAAGCCTTTCCGAGAATTACTAAAATAAAAAAATATCTTTTAAATAAATTAAGCCAGACATTAACCAATAATAAAAGTTTTTTTTTTTAAAATAGAAATTACTCTACTATTTCTTATTATTATTTTTTTATAGTCGAATCTTAATATAAGATTAAAATAAAATACTATAAAAATTACAAAACTATACAATTAAAGATACAATTTTTTTTTAATTGAGTTCCTAATTTAAGCCTTTCCGAGAATTACTAAAAAAAAAAATATCTTTTAAATAAATTACAGACATTAACCAATAATAAGTTTTTTTTTTAAAATAGAAATTACTCTACTATTTCTTATTATTATTTTTTTTTGTCAATCTTAATTGATACTATAAAAATTGCCTTCCGAGAATTACTAAAATAAAAAAATATCTTTTAAATAAATTAAGCCAGACATTAACCAATAATAAAAGTTTTTTTTTTTAAAAATAGAAATTACTCTACTATTTCTTATTATTATTTTTTTATAGTCGAATCTTAATATAAGATTAAAATAAAATACTATAAAAATTACAAAACTATACAATTAAAGATACAATTTTTTTTTTTAATTGAGTTCCTAATTTAAGCCTTTCCGAGAATTACTAAAACAAAAAATATCTTTTAAATAAATTAAGCCAGACATTAACCAATAATAAAAGTTTTTTTTTTTAAAAATAGAAATTACTCTACTATTTCTTATTATTATTTTTTTATAGTCGAATCTTAATATAAGATTAAAATAAAATACTATAAAAATTGCAAAACTATACATTTAAAGATACAATTTTTTTTTTTTAATTGAGTTCCCAAAAAGGAACAATTGATGTTAATAAAACAAAAAATATAAAAAAATGAAGGAGACTATTTCACCTGGGGGATATATCGGGTTAAATACTTGGCCTTCGATAAACTAGGAAACTATGCCAGTGCTCAATTCAAGATATCTATCGTTAAACACGATTGTCCATCTATTATGAAACCCCCAAACCTCGTGGAAGAATGTGGAATATGGGGACAATCCCAATTTTACGATAGTAAGCGTTGTTCCATTCGTTGCCGACAAAAAGATGCCAACACATCTGGTCTTCAGGCGTTGAGACGTTTTTCGACCGTAAAATTATTATTATATTGGCTTTCTATTATTTTCAGGACTGTCTTATCTTAGTACGCCACATTTGTAAATTTCAGTATAATGTCTCCTTTAAAGTCTTTTAAAACTGCATTTTTTTAAAAAATTATATAAAAATTTAAATAGAGAAATTATAAATGTCGCTAAAGGATGTGATTTTTTTAAAAACGGTTAGCCTAATATTTTAATCAAAATAGAATTACACAAGCCGGAAGATTTTGCTCACTGCGTAATATTATATTGGCGGCTAAAATCTTTACATTTAAAATCGTCTAAATCTAGCCACTTAATTTAGTGGAAGGCAACGGGAGATTCTTCTTTGATTTTAAAATCTAATTTTATTATATATATCTATCAGAGTTGTTAAAGGATCTAGATACAAATATCTAGATCCCGTATCTTGATATAAAAATGTGGTATCTGTATCTAGATAGATTTTTGATTAAAATATCGGTATCTAAATATTATTTTAGACGATATATCTGTATCTAGATCCATTTAAAAAGTATCTTTTAACAACTCTGATATCTATATACAAAAATCTTGTCATTATATACACTTTTTTTATAATAGCGAATTTACATTTTAACAAAGTTACATATGTCCTTTACAATTTCATTTTTGCGTTACCGAATTTTTTTTATCTTTTATTACACTGACCTTTTAAACTAAAAAAAAATAATATTCAATTTTAATCTTAATTTGGTCATATTTAACACTAGCCATTTAACTACACTAAATTTGCTTACAAAAACCTTAATAATAACCCTAAATAATTGTCAATAATGGTTTCTTAATTATTTACGTATATATATACATCTAAATGTCACGTGATCAAAGGGTGCTATTTAATACGATTGCGATTTTTTTTCATCCTAAGATTTCCTCTCTCCTTTATCTCATTTATAATTAACTCATTACCTCTCTTCATTCCATAAATTTTTTTTTTTTAAATATATATATATTACTATATATTCACATCATTTAAGCCAATTCCATCATTTTTCTCTTGCTCTGAAGATGGGATATGGAGGCCAAGCCAGCACAATTTCGCCTGTTTGCTAACGTCCTCTTTCAGGTACCCGCATTGTTCCGATACTGTAGAGACGGCGGTGGAATACATTGAAATGACTCTCAAATACTCGGCCAAAAATTTATGTCGTGATTCCCGCGTTATTACGGGAAACGAATACATACGTAACTTAGAAAAACGGGTGATAGTCTTGGTAAAGAATCTGATCAAGGATAACCAGGATCTCTGCTTACTGATAGATTGTTCCTATTTCAAAGATGATTCTGACATCTTTTCTGAATTGTTGAGACTTCAAGGTTCTCTTAATTACGAGACTCGTATAATTTGCGGCAAAGGTACCCTAGATACGGAGAAGAAAAATACGGTCGATCACAAATATTCCGGAATAACGCTTCACAGGATCAGGGCTCGTTTACTAGGTAAGCAAGAATCCGTATCTCGCACAAATCTACCCGACTCCTCTAACACCAGCGTCAACATTCAGCACAGGAATAAATTGATGGAATGGTTGCAGATTCGCATCACTAATCCTCAATCGGAATTCAACGATGTTAGCGATAGCGCGGGGAAAAAATTTTCCGATGGTTCCTTATCCCTCAAATTAATACCCAACGCTTTTTCCATCGAAGTGATCAATCTTTGTGCCACGGGTTTCAGCTTAATGAACAATGAATGTGTCAAGTATAGTTAATTTTACCTATTATTCAGAATTACGTGATGACCTTAGCTAGTGTTGTTAAACGGCTTGTTTTGAGGCAATTTTTTTAAAACGGCTAAACTCATATTTTAACCAGGTTAAATATTGCCTAAACCTGGAGATTTCGATAAGATATGTTCTAGAACCTTGGTTCCTTCTGTGAACAAAATCTTCAGGGTTGGCGTAATCTTTTTTTTCTTGATGAAGTATTGAGTTGCCCGCTTAAAAATCTCTAACCTTAGCTAAACAGCTTGTTATAACGATCCCAAAAAGTGGTTGGCTCCTACGATATTTTTTTCATTACCTCTTAACTTAAGACTCTCTCTCCACATATATATATATATGTAATGTAAATTACTTTTTACCCACGTCGTTCATGTAGACACTATTTTCAATAAAGAAAGAAAGAAAGAAAGAAAGAAAGAAAGAAAGAAAGAAAGAAAGAAAGAAAGAAAGAAAGAAAGAAAGAAAGAAAGAAAGAAAGAAAGAAAGAAAGAAAGAAAGAAAGAAAGAAAGAAAGAAAGAAAGAAAGAAAGAAAGAAAGAAAGAAAGAAAGAAAGAAAGAAAAAACACCTAAAAATTTATTATTCAATTTTTTGAATTTATTATTCAATTTTTTGAATTTATTATTATTATTTTGTATTTAAAAATTATAAGATGCGCCATAGGAACGTATTTTGATTTGGAGAGTAAGAGTTGCGAGTTCTGTCCTTATAATACCTATCAAAATAAAGAGGGTCAATTAATATGCCATCAATGTCCTATCATCGGGTCACTCAACAGAACCGGTGTCACTCTTTGCCAGGGATCGAGTTCTAAGGATGACTGCAAAGGTAATTTTTTTTAAAAAAATCGTTACACAATATTTAACAAGTCTTATCATTTATTTTATGTTAGAGTCAATGTGTGTTTTTTTTCCGGAAATGTGCTATTTTTTGTTCTACTTTAAATCATTTTTTTCGAGCACGGTTTTTTTTTTAAATTCAAAAAAATAGGATTTTACCAGAAATGTCAGGATGTCTAGAATACTTATCTTATGAATTTTTTTCTGAAGTTAACCTTTGAGTCATTTATAATTAATATATATGAATAAATCTATGGGAAAACGAATATAAATTATATTAATTTCAGAAGTTCGTGGCTAAATTCTCTGAAATTTATAGGGTAAGCATTCTAAGCATGGTGGAATACCTTTTCGGTTAAAGAAAAAATGACACTTTGCCAAAAAAAACAACAAATATTATAAGGAAAAGTATCATGATAAAATTTTAACTAAATGATTTGCGATTAGTGTTTATTATTAATTTTAAATAAATTTTGTAATAATTCACATGAGTGTGATTATCATTTCTAAAAACTCATTTAACTATATATATACTTCAGTTATTAATAAATCAAATATATATATATATATATGTTAATTTTTAAAAGAGAGTTGCGATGCCGGGTATTATTTAAAACATCTCACCGCCGATACGTCGAATAATGACATGCATTGCGAGCCCTGCCCAATGGGATTTCACCAGCCTGACAAAGGTTCCTTCCATTGTTATCCTTGCGATATAGGATTTACTACTCACGCTACGGGTAACAACGTGGAATACAACATTATAAATGGAAATCGAAGCGCGGATAATTTTGTTAAAGATCAATCTGGGCACTTGGTACCTAAGAAAGGGTGCTATCAGCCCTGCTATTGCCTAAATGGCGGCAGATGCATTTATTCAAACCCACCTATCCATTATTCCGTGACCCTAAACACGTCGGGTATAAGGAACTCTTTCATCGATAATATTACTCTAAACACTGTACCGCTCTTTGAAAAGGGTAAAAAAAAAAAAATTGCTTTCTTCTATTTTCTTTATATGCCATACTACAGTTTTATGTGTATCTTTAATTCATTATGTATATGATGCACAAACAAACACAATAAGAATCTCCCAGGCAGCCACTTCCCCCCACTTGCGAATGCTTGTACCCATATGGAGGAGCGAGGTGTGAAGTGATAGTGAACGAAACATGCCTACCTAGCTGCAAAAATAATCAGCCATGCAAACTAATCGACAGAACCATTATGAAAAAGAGTTGAGTTTCAAAAAATTTATTTTTTAAGTCAAATGTTTCGATGACACGAAATGGTGTCGGTTGAGTATTAGAAGGCCTTAAAAAAAAATTAATGTTTGTGGACCAAAGTTATCGAGGATAAAAGTCAAAATTAGCAATAAATTTAGAAAAATTGTAGATTTATGTAACACAACTTCCTTTTTTTGAATGTCAGATAGAGCACTCCAATTCTCAAAGTTACGGCACAATGTCTTATTTCGATTTAAATATTGAAATCTTAGGGACATTTGCTCCTGGTCAAGTTTTTGGAGATAGGACAAAAAGAACATATTATAATAATAATTTTTTTTTTTTTTAATATTTTTTAAATCCCCATAGTAAAAGACAAATCGAATAACGTGGTCGTTAGAATAGTCAAAAAGAAGGTTAAGAAATGGCGATGCGTTTGCGAGGATCGAAGTTTCGGTGGCAAGAAATGCGAAATCGCATGCCCGATGACTTGCGAAGAGGGCAGAACTAAATGCGGAGTGGACGAATTGGGTAACCCCTCTTGTTTGGAATACATCCTTGTAACCGGCGACAAAGATTTTAACGTCAAGTCCAAGCCTAACCTTGGCCGCAAAACGCCCTCGTTCTCCGGAGATCCAAAATCGACACCTTGCGCGGTAATTTACGAAGACGCGGAGGCCTTCAAGAATTTGACGGAAGAGCAAAAGAAAGTTTGCTACCAAGAAGGCTATATCATAAACGACGACAAAGAATCGAACAACGAGGATGCAGACGATGACCTCATAAATTCCCTGGAGAATAAAAACGAGATCTCAAGCAGTTCCGGTGAATTATAATATATTATAGCCTTGAGAAGATTTCTTTAAGGGCCGCGGAAATTTTCCCTCCCACATAATATATTTTACTCTCTAGAAGCCTGCATTTTATCTCCGTAAGGAAGAAGCGCTCCTATCTTCCCTCCACTCCCCAGCCCAATCTTTAACAATTTATGGGTGCTCAATATTGATTCAGGTGTTGATTTATGATTTGCATTTTTTTTAAAATTTTGCGTTCAATTGCTAATTAACAGACTTGGTAACATAGAATACTCAGAACCGGGATTAAGTCATAACCGGAAGTAGGAATCTAGAACTGTTTTAAAATATTTTTTTTAGGAATCTGAACTAAAACAACTCGTTTAATTTTTTCCCTAATAATCTTATAAATCTAAGGAATTCTTCACCAAAAACACCGAGAATATTGGTTTCAAGCAGGGATAAATATTATGTTGGCCATATCTGAATATTGGTTTATTTTCAATATTTCGGCCGAATTATTTACCGAAGCATTTCTGTTGGATCGCGTCGAATGATCGATGTGTATTTCCTAGCTACTGGAACCATCTTAGTCTTCTGTTGTTTCTTGTAGCAAATGTAATAATCTGGATACTAGTTTTCTTAATGGCTTTTGAGATTAAATTATTTATGATTGTATGTTGCGGCAGGGCGGCCTTTAAAATATCTATGTAAATGAGGGTGTCCTTTTGAATCGGATGGTAAGGAACAATTACTAAATTTAGCAGGAAGCGATATATTACAGCCAAGACGAGGCGAAATAGTTATACAAAAGTTCTTCATTAGTGAGAAGAATAATGAGATTTTCGCTTGGAATAGCCTGCTGCCTTCTTAGCCCGATTTGAAATTCAGAATAACTTGGTTGGGAGATTGTTCCAAGTATTTACTCGATAAAAGATAATCAACGGAGTGGGAGACAAGGAAAATATTCCAAGTTTTCTGCACAAAGGTGGGTGGGCGACTGCTAATGCCAGTGATTGTTCAACCAAGTGTGAAAGGGCGCTTTCTAGCTCTAAATCATGACCAATAGGGATTAAACCTGAAATGCTTAATCTTGAGGAGATAAAAGAAACAAGATAGGAGGGATGGGGGGAGCATAAACTATTCTCGCCATTTATTGCATGGAAGAGAGGCCTTTACAAAAATGGATTTGAAATGCACAGATTGGAAAATCCTATGAGGTTGGGAAATAGGGATTTCAGGATTTCTAAGCAAAATTCTATCAAAAATCCTCCTTTGATCATTCCTAATAAAAACTATACTTTTTTATAAAAATCTTCTGAGATTAAAAATATTCGAAGATTTTTTTTTATCTTGAAGAACATTTCAAACTCTGAATCAAATATATTTATTTTATACATTTAATATAAAACTTATCGTATTTTTAATAAAAAATATATTTTTTTGATATCAGATTTAACTTCCCAAGATATATCTGTCATATCTGGTGCAGTTGGAGGCGCTCTCTTACTTCTGTTCTTAATGGGTATTATCCTGCTTTCAGTCATATACTGGTATTAATATTATTATTTATTTATTTTCGAAAGTACAGTATATAAATAGGTTATAATATACACAATATATATATATATATATTTAAACAGGAGGAAAAAAAGATCTAACAAATATTTCGGAAAATCTAACATCCACCACATCAATTTCGATAACGAGATTAACCATAGAAGAGATGATGGAACTGATTTATACAATCAAAATTCCAATTATAACAACAATAATAACCACATGAACAACATGAACAATAATAATATGTCGGCCGAATCCTCTTCGACATACAGCAACCACCATTCCAATAATAATAACTTATTACTCAACTCTGGAAACGGAATACTAATGTATGTTAAAAAAATTTCCAACTAATTCATTTATAGGGCTAGTCACGTTTTAATTAAGAAATAAATATATGATCATCTTTGTAAATTTAAATCAAAATGGTATAGTAATATTTATAATAAGAAAAAATGATATTTTGTAATCTTATAGAAAATTTTAATGTGGAAGCAATTCACTTTATAAGTTTTAAAATGATAAGAAAGAATAACATATTATGATATATTATTCTTTGAAGGGAATCCATGAATAGCTATTATTCTCCTAGACCCGATCCATCTACCAATACATTCCCCAATTACGATTCGCCCATTGTATACGGACAAACCCCCCCAGAAACCGGTTCTGAAAACACTTATAGGCAATACGGTTTTGCCGATACTTGCTTAAGCTCTTGCACTTATAAGGCGCCCACGCATGAAGGAAATGCAAGTTTTGAAGAAAAAAAAAAATACAAAATTATTTCGTGATATTTTTTAAATGTAAAAAATGAATGTTGAAGATGTGTTATGTCTGTTCCCAGTTTTTCCAAATAGATGATAGTAAAACTGATTTGGGTCATCATTTATATATAAAATAGGAAAGTAGGAGAAGGAGAAACGATGATTTAATAACAAAGGGAGAAATTCAAAATTGTTTTAAATAATGTTATTAAGTATTCAACTCAGTTTTTTGGAGTGGATTTACCATTCGTGCACGTTAGGAATGGTTTTTTTATATTTTATTTTAATCTGTATACAAACTAGAAAATATCAAATTCCCTTAAATATTGAATTTTTTATTGAGGCAATCATTTTTGGGAAAATTCATATTATTTTACTTTCTTTCTTTCTTTTTTAAATTTGCATTTTTATTTTCAATTTCAAAATATTCAAAACGTATAAAAAATATATATATAAAGTAAAATATTTTTAAGAAAAAAAAAAAAATTGGCGGAGAAGGATTAAAAAATTGTTTTTTCGGGCCAATGACATATAATAATACCTAGACTGACGTATTAAAAGTGTACATCAATGAAAACAGCTGGGGACGCCATGTGTACCTCAGTGAAAACAGCTGGGGACTCCATTTTGATTATCCATATCATTATCGAAAATTTTATACGAGAGGCCAATTTATTCCTATGTCTGACGCAAACTTTATTAAAGAATTACCCGATCATCGAGATAATAAGGAAGCAAAGTTATCAATTTAATAATATTTTTTTAACAGGAAAATAATTACTATACGTGTTACCAAAATGGCGGGTCCAGCTGATTTAACGACTCTTTTTCGAAATGCATTTTGACGAATGCACCGTCAGTCTGGGTATTATTATATGTCATTGTGTCGGGCACAGAGCCTAGGATGATGGAAATAAAATTAGATCTACTTATATCAAGATATCTTTTTTATCTTTAAAATTTTGATTGGTTGTTGATAAGAGATTTCCATAGCGTATATTATAAGTCGAACCCTACTGTATATTTTGCCTAGCTCAAGACTTTTCAAGTAATCATATGTTGTGTTAAATTACGCCATATTTTATTTTAATAATAAACTTAAACCGATCAAAGTTAATTTTATTGTTGTGTATGTATTTTTCGACATTGAATTTATTTAAAATTAAAATTAAAAGGCAAAACGAATAAGAAGAAAGAATTACCGGAACACCAGAAACCGGTTTGGGCTGACTCTTCCCCATCATCGATCAACGAATCCACATCTTCCTACGAACAAAAGGGTATTATAGGCGATGACAGCTACAAGGACAAACATCAAAGCTGCTCTACACATATCAGTAACGTTTACGCCGACGCTAAACATCCTTCCAATCAATCCGATACTACCAATACATATTTAAAGTTCACTATTCTCTTGCCATTTTATTTTTGATTAGAGTTCACATGTATATGCCCTTTTTACAATTAAAAATACTCCCGATATTGTCTCTTTGGCTTCTATTTCTTCTCCAATTGGATAAAGTAAGCTTTAATGATAGTATAAATATGATTATATATTCCATATTCATTAAGAACTCAATCATAAATATGGTCCACTAGGAACTACGGGTTATCTTGGAGCAATGTTCCTCAAAATAAATTAATGATTTATACAAACAACTTCTTTTTTTTTAAAAAAAAATTTATTACTACGAAAGAACACTGATTATAATGATTAATTCATATATTTTTTTTTTAAAATGAATATATTTCCCTTATAACGCCATCTATTTTAAAAGTTTTTATTAACAAGTTTTCTTTGGCTTAAGAGAGATCATCTACCATATTATAATATATTTTGTTGAAATAAAATAATATTGCCATTTCCACAAATGCGAATTGGTTTAAATGGCGGATATTGGGGTTAGTTATTATTAAATGTCTTGGGAAAGACATTTTGATACAATTTATTGTTGTTTACAAATTGAAGCTAATTCCAGAAACCATCTTTATTTCCAAAAAAATAAGAACCAGAGCCACTCCAAAAAAAAAATATAAATCTATTTATAAAAATATAGTCTGGGTTCGAAAACTCCGGTGGTTCTTATTAGAGATTTGCGAATCCCGGCCCGGTCCGAACGGGTTTCGGGCCGGGTCGAGTTAATAATGATTTAGGTTCGGACCGGGTCGTGCGGACAAATAATTTTTATTTCGGGTCCTTTTCGGAACATGTAAAATAAAATTCGGTGCAGATCATTAGTTAGTTTCCCATATAAACCCGATGACTTATAAATAATTAAATTAAAACAAATTTTTAAGGCCAAATGTTAAATGCTCGTGCTGCCACTCCGATAATCAATATTCTTCGGAGGAGGCGCATCATACCTTTACACACGATTACGACATATATGAATCCACGCGGCATTTTACCTCTCATCCAGATTGAATGAATATATAAATTTTTTTTACAATATATAATTATTATAAATTTATTACAATTAAAAATCAATTTTTTAAAAAGTTGTAACTGTGATTGACCAAAATGGCATTTTTTTTTTGTATATATATATACTTTCGAATCATCTAATCTTCATTCAAAGTATTATTTCTTCGTTATAAAATTGTAAACAATGCATAAATTTTTTAACATCGTCGCTATCGCAATATAAAAGGAATATTAAATTATTAGCAATTGTTTTTTTTATTTTTATCAACATATTCAATATCGATATTACATTATCTATAAGCAGGGATGTGAACCCTAACCCGTGTTCAGGAAATATAAACTCTATTTATCGGAAATTTTGATAACAGGAAGTTAATCAAAACCAATTTTCTAAAAGAGGTCCGAACCCGTCCCAAGTTCGTTTTACCCCGGGTTCGATTGCCCATAAAGCGGTCTCTGCTTGGTCTGTGGTATCAAAATGCCCAACCAAACAATTTAAAATTTTTAAACCTAGGTTCGAGTTTACATCCCTGTTTATAAGTATATAAACAAGTTACGCGTTTAAAAAAAATAATTGTTTTTTATAAAAAAAAAAAAATTTATAATAATATTTCAATACAATAATTTATGTGAAAATTGGTGGTGCGAATTAAAAAAAATTGTTTTATATTATATAGCAATTGTTTATCTTAAATTAATTGTTTTTTTGTTTATTAGAAAACCTATGGATTACAGGAATGCTTAGGTATAGCCAATTTTTTCCTAAGTGAGGGAGGGGGGGGGGGATTGTTAATGAATTTTTGAGTTTCCACCCCACCCCCTCTCGCGACCTCCCATTCGTAAGTTTAGATTTTCGAATAAATAGTTGGGTTTTGTGCCCTCTCTCTCTTATTATTCTTGATCTGAGTGACAAAGTTTTGTTGGCTTCTTTTCAAACAAAAAATATCGGCGCGATTATAAAAAGATCGAGGGCGTTAAAATTCTCCTTCCGGTTTAGTCTAAGGCCGATTTTCAAATATCAGAACATATCCATAGATCGCATATTTAAAAAGGTCTTACAAAAATATATATTACCCTAATCCTCGAGATTTAGCCAAGGATAAGTGTTGTATCTGTTGATATGTAATTGACATTTATAGACGTTCTTTAATAAATTTCGAATTAGAAAAATATAACAATTTCTTTTCTTTGTTATTAATCATGTGATTTTGGATATATAATATAAGATTTTATCGGGTTTTGGAGTGGTATTACAATATACTTATATATATTATATTAAACAATATACATTACATTTTTATGTTTTAGAGAAAATAAGCAACCCTAAATACATGTGATGGATTGTATCAACTGGCGTTATATTCTATATCGTCGTTTTTTTTTTATATTAAATACAATTACCTCCAAAAATTATTTCATGTAAAATGGTATGTTAAATACGTTGTCTCCTTTTAACTATAAAAGGCATCATGTCGGAAGAAAATTTATAGAAGTTATAAATGTCCGAAGCTTTTATTTAGTGTCTTACTTATTAATTCTATACATAAAGAAGTGATCTAATTATAAGAAAAATAAAATTTCTAAAAAATTTGCAGTATACAAGGTATTGGAAGACCCTGAGACTGTGCCAGACCATTCTAACTATCTTTTATTCCAGAGCATATATATATCTATAAAAATAAATAACAAAGACGATTGAAATAATGGTAAACAATGTTGTAAGCCATAATTGGTAAATAAATACTGCGTAATAAAGATGAACTGAAAATTTTTGGTTTAACCCCGTGAGTTATAAGCGGAAGGTTATTAATTGAAACTTAATAAAAAGTAATTATATAACCTTACGCTTGCCTAATTACTTTTTATCAAATTTCAAATAACCTTCCGCCCGATTTGTAGATAGATTAGTGAAACATAACAAAAATTATAAAAGTTTTAAACTATATATCTAGTTGCATTAATATTTATTTACACAGAAACCAAATTCTCCTTTTCCGATTATTAATTTAATAGAGTATAGATATAAAATAGTTAAAATATCGTCATATTTTGAATTGAATTATATTTTCAAAAATTTGATTTAAAAAAATTTTAAATATGAGATTAGCAATGGATTTGTTTCCACCCGCCCATTGTCCAATAACCTTTTAGGACTTACCCCCCTATGAGTTATTATAAAAACCTATCCGTCCACCTATTTATCTAAAAACTATATTTAACCATTCTGCTGAATGTTTAAAAATGACTAAAATAGTGAAATTTGATTCTTTATTTATTATATTTTTACTTAAACGGATAAAATAATGTGCAGTGTGTAATATGAAATAAAGAAAATATTTTATTATAAATATAAACCAGTTTGGCTCAATTCTCCAGAAAAAATATTTTGAATTTGTCCGCCTTGTCGCTTATTTTTAATTTAAACGCTTAATTATAAAACTTATTCTTTAAGTTTAAATTTTTTTAAAAATTCAGATTATTGATTAAATTTATGATAGAATGAATGATCAATTTTGTTTCTACAATAATTTCTTAAATTCTCGCTCTGCACTTGCGGTTGTTGGAGCTAACGTTTAAAAAGTTTTGATTTCTTTTAATCAAATTTTGTAAAGTCGTTGTTGGTCTCCCCTTTTTAATATTCAATTTATGTCAATATTTATTGTGCTAAAGGATATTTTAAATAACTTTTCAATAACACGAAAATCTTTTTAATAAGCATTTTTTTTTATTACTTTTACCCAACGATTATTTTTTATGCGTATAAAATTAGTATTTTTAAACGGCTCGATTTAAGCCGATTTTAAAAAAATGGCTAACTCAGTATTTTAGCCAGAAAAATATTGTCCAAGCCTCAAGATTTCGCTAATAGATGTCCAAACCTTTGTGTAATCTATGAGTAAAATCTTTAGACTTGCGTAATATTTTTTTGAATAAAACATTGCGATAGCCGTTAATAAAATCGTCTCAAATCGCCTTTTAACAACACTACCTAAAATTATACAACATTCGTAGGATTTTTATTTGGCGAATTAGGTAAAAATTATTATACCAATAATATTTATTGTATTAGCCTAATTTTTTAAAAAAATAAACAATTTTCAATTAACTCCCCGAATGTGTATTTTCTTTTTAACATAAAAATATTATTCATTTTTTTATTATAGTAAAAATAAAATACCAACGAAGAAAAATAAGATTAATTATTTTGTATAGTATTAATTCTTATTAATATTATAAAAATTAAATTAATTCTATTTGAGAATTATCTTAAAAAAAATACAAAACAAGCATTGCTTCCTTGTTTCTGTTGATACTAGTGTTGTTAAACGGCTTATTTAGAGCCGATTTTTAAAAATGGCTAACTCAATACTTCACCCAAAAAAATATTACCCAAGCCTCCCCATAGGTTCCTGTATCTTTATCTTACCTATCTTAAGATTTTGCTCACAGATGGATCAAAGGTCTAGACATATATTATCAAAATCTTAAGGCTAAGGCAATATTTTTCAGGCTAAAATATTAAATTAGCCGTTTTTGAAAATCTGCTTAAAACGTTTAACAACACTAGTTGATACTTCGTTACTAATGGTAGCTGAAAAATACATCTTGAAAAAGAATGTGATACGGAAATAAGAGGGATAAGTTACGGTTATATGAAAACTATACCTGGTAATATTTAAGAATTAATTAATTTGGCTCAATCTACAAATGCACATTATAGGAAATTTGCAGAACACTGAAATATGTTTTAATAAGTCATTTCTCTTTAAAATCAAAGTATATTTTCTTTAAACTTCCAGGCTAAGATAGTTTCCAGTTTAAACGAGATTTTGGACAAATTTTAGCGAACCTAAAAATTGCGAATAATTTAAATAATTGAGCAATTACTTAACTGAAATAAAAGGATTACAATAGATGAAAGTTTAGTCGCAAACATTAAGATTGACAAAGTAACAACTATTAAGTGCGCTTCTAAATTTGGAAATAAAAAAGTCAAATATCGCTCTCATAAGAAGATCTGGTTCCAAGTTAGAGCTTGTGGTGTACTTCAACGAAATTATATGTTCCTTGGACATGTCAGCTGGCATACGTTTCAAATATGTAATAGTTGACAGGTATGTCGATCTGAATTTAGAACAAATCTTTATTCCAATTTAATTTATCTTCTTTCAATGATCACGATGGAATACATACTCCAGGATAAAAAACCAATTCAAAATACCATGTAATATCACAATAACCTACTTTCTTAATTTTTTTATTTTATAGATTATGTTGTGAATGTGGAACTTCTATCGAACCTAATCCTGCAAATATGTGTGTTGCATGTATTAGAACTAAGGTAGATATAACTGAAGGAATTATCAAACAAGGAAATCTTCAGTGGTGTAAAGGATGTCTTAGGTATGATTATATAATTTTTTTAAATATGCTACATATATATATTAAATAATTATACATAATATCCCCCCACTATTATGATTATCTATAATACATGAATTGTGTCCATTTCAGTTTTTAATTTTTGAAATGTTAGTTAATTATTTTTTAATCATATTAATCTTTCCAAAACCTTAAGGCATGCCTACAAATTTTTATTGAAATTGTAATTAATCAAATTTCAGTTTTCTTTTTCATTTGACTTGGTGTGACCGATATTTAAATAACTAACAAAAATTACATTCATTTAGTATAATCATGAAATTGATTCCTTTAATTTTATATATTTACTTTAAAACATAAAAAACTTGTTTAAATCTAGATATCTGAATCACAACAATCAATATATTATATGTCAACCAGAATCAAAGGAACTTCTTTCTATATGTTTAAAAAAATTGAAGGGGCTTAATCATGTATAAAATGAATTTTCAATTTTTTTATAACTGATTTATTAATTCTCTTATAGGTTAGATTAATAGATGCTGTGTTTATATGGACAGAACCTCATTCAAAAAGAATTAAAATAAAGCTTACCATCCAAAAAGAGGTTTATTTAGTGAAAAATTTTCTCAGAATTTAACAAAAATACTTAAATGAGCACTTGAAGATTTTTTTATTTTTTTGAGCAGTTTGCCATACCTTGAATGATCTTCATTCTTACATCTAACTTATATATATACATTTTTTTTTATTTAGGTAAATGGTGGTGCAATATTGCAGCAATCCCTACCAATTGAATTCATTGTAATGAATCAAATGTGCGATGATTGCCATAAAAGGGAAGCGAAAGATTTTTGGAAAGCTGTCGTACAAATTAGGCAAAAGGTTTATTCAATTATTTATCTATTTTTGATTTTTCTCGTGTAACCCTTAAGTGCCCAACTTTTTTTTATAAATCGAGATATTATATTATCAATTAAACCCAGAGACCTGTGTGGCCTATAGGCCACCAGGTATGGGCCCAGGGTTTTGTATTTGTTATATTAGTCTCATGTAAAACAGTTGCTAACTTAAAAAAGTGTTGCATATTTTTTTCCTCTAATAACAAATTTCAGTATTGTAGATAAAATCGTTGCCTAAACACACTTAAATATTGTTTATTTTTTTTTATTTAATTAAATTTTTGGATATTGGCTTGGGCCAGGCTTGTTCGAAATTTCTGAATAGGCTTGTGAAATTTTTTTTTAAGCTTTAAATACAGACGGGACCTACAAAGATTTAAATCGCAAGCCTGGGCCACATCTGATATGAAAATCAGCATCCATGAAGCTCTGATTGAAGCCCACTTGCTAATTGATGATAGGAAGAATTTAATTTTTAAAAAAAGAAGGTTTTAGTCAAGCATAATGACACTTCAAAGTAATTCAATTACCAGTGAGCTCTCCAAAATTATTTGAAAAACGTAATGAAGAGTTTATTACATCTTTCCAAATTTATATAGTGTATGTGTACAGACTTATCATTAATAATACACTAAAGATGAATGATTAATTAGAAGGAACCCATAACAAAGAATTGCAAGCCACTTATAATTATTTTTTTTTAATCAAAAATTTATTTGTGAATACCTTTCCGATTACAATTAATGTGCCTATTCAAAAAACAGGCTCAAACAATAAATTATTCCTTATTTTATTTTAAAGGAAATTTAGTAGTTTACTATTCATGATTGTAACTAATCAAATAAGTAAAAATTTATTATCTTACAAATATTAACGGTAAATGCTTGATTTGTATAATTTATTTTAATTCGTTTTTTCTTCAATAGGCCTAACAACAAGCATAAATAAGACTAACTCTCCCTAATTGAATCTCTCTTTTTTGGGGGGAGGGGGGAATGCATAATAACCAATCTATGTGTTATTAGAAGTCTGTTATTTGCAATGAATTCACCCTTCAAACCCATTTGCACTTATTGGGCTTAATCGATACGTTCTTATAAAATGTATTATTTTAAATATGTTACTCAGGCTGACAACAAAAAGACATTTTACTATCTGGAGCAATTGTTGCTGAAGCACAACGTCACCTCCCACATCCTCAACATCAAGCAAGAACACGGTTTATTTATAACGAATATGCGCTAGATAAATTTTACGGTTTGCATTTTGTCAGCCATTTTTCCCGCCTTTTTTTTCTCTCGAGATTGATTGGTTCCGTATTCTACCCCTTCCCAACCCGCTAAAATAATAAATCACGTGTCCCATTATTTACATAAATGTGGAGTGATTTCGAGAGCTTCATTGACATGTATGGGGTCTGATGTGGACTGTATCTTTATAAGATGCCTTTTAGTATATGAGCTGCCATTTTAGTAAATAAATTAATCTAGGGCCTAGTGATCTCATACCTCTGGGCCTTAAAAAAATGGAGGAAGAAAAATCACGTGCCCTATTTTCTCATTTCCTGTTTATAAAATTTAATTAAAATCTATATATACATACAGGTGGACTAGATTTTTATTTTTCGACGAAAGATGACGCCAAAAAATTTGCAGCCTTCATCGAGAACGTCATTCCCTGCAGGTTTTTTAAATATTATTTTGAAATTTTAACACGTGACTTACTAGGGTGTAGATTAATATGATTACTAGTCTCCATTTTAAAATTAAAAAAAATGGTAGCAACTTCTTTATATTTCCTTCCCTTATCCTATAAATTGGTCAATTCACGGATTGGCTGATTTTGATCTTAGTCAATTAGTGCAATGCCATTGGATCATATAAATGTGAGTCAAAATAATGAGATACGATCAAATTATTTTCGGCGATTTGACAAATAACATTTACTTCCTCTAGGAATCTTTTTTTTTTAATATTTATATTATATATATATATAAACATGTAAACGAAATAAAGGCAAAAATATTCTCAGCGTCTCATCTCGCACGACATCCACAGCAACATATTCAATTACAAATCCACTTTCAGCCTAGAACTGATACCCGTTAGCAAGGACAGTTTGGTGTGCTTCAGCGGCAAGCTAGCGTCCAGCTTGGGATTACCCAACAGAAATCGAATAGCTATATGTTGCAAGTTTGTTCTTTTTTTAGAAAAAAAAATTAATATATATACCACCGGGGTAATTCGGACCAACATTTAAAAAAAATTTTACTACTTATTTTGATCTAAATGATCGATTCATATAATGAATATTAGTTTGTTCAGATAAATTTTATTACACGGACAATAATAATTCGATATTAAGCTGCACCTACGATTTAGTAGTATAACAAAAAAAAACAAATCGATTTTTAATAAAAAACATTTTTTTTATACATTCATAAAAAAAACACTTTTAAGGCTAACCAAAAGCGCCCACTTCGTGGATCCCTTATCCGGTCAAACTTTCGAAATCAACGCCACTCAATATTCCAATATGGGCGAGAGTATCTTAGGTTTCGAGGTTTTATGTTCGGCCAATAAACTGGGAAGGTTCGTTGTCATGGAGATCGAGGAAGATGTTAGGAGAAAAATAATAATATATGTTATTTAGGGGTCGGGATAAATAACATAAAATGCACGGGTTGAATGGCCACCACCGTCCGCCATGTTTTATCTGACGTCAACAAAATAAAATATTTAATTCCGATCTACCTCACTAATTATCTTTTATTGTCCCTATTGTAGCCAAGTACTTGGTCACTTTTGTCGTTCACAAGAAATCTCCGAGAGTCTAAATTAGGGAGTTTCATTTTGTCATTTTGAAACATTTCCCTTCCTTAATTTTTTTTTCTTATATATTTCGTCTTTCATTTTTTTTTTGTTTCACATTTGTTTTTTTTAAATGTTTTAATAGTTTTTTATCCTCAAAATTTCTATATATTTTTTATTACTCTAAGTTTTTTTAGTTTTTTTAAAAATGTTTTATATAGTTTTTTTTGTTTTTAATAATCAAAATTTCTATATATTTTTTTTTACTTTAAGTTTTTTAGTTTTTTTTAAATGTTTTATATAGTTTTTTATCATCAAAATTTCTATTTTTAAAAAAAATGACGAATTATTTGAAAGTTTCGAATCAAATACAAATAGTAAATTTTCATTTATTTGAGATCCAATCCAGTATACAGCAAATGGGATTATCATTTTAAAAAAAATTTTATTCTTTAATCCGCCATTTTTTAAGAATGGGCTGCTAACTGATTTTCTTTAAAAAAAATTTACAAATAAATAAAGTTTTCTAAGCGCGCCGCCAATCAAAACGCGTCCCAAGTTGAGGACAAATATCAATTTTCCATGGCCGCTTGCTGGGTGACCAAGGACACTGACCAGGCAACTTTCGGCTCCGAGACATATTTCTGTAGGACGCATCTGGGAAATATCCTCAAGCCCGGAGATTTTGTATTAGGGTTTATCAAATAAATTTTTTAATAGATAAAATGATAAACTTTCACGCTATATTTCAAGCAGAGTTGTCAAAGGATCCAGATACTCTAGATATAAAAATGTGGTATCTGTATCTAGATAGATTTTTGATTAAATAATATGTATCTAGATATTATTTTAGACGTTGTATCTGTATCTAGATCCATTTAAAAAGTATCTTTTAACAACTCTGATTTCAAGTAACAGATTGGACAGCCTCGAAGTCAACGCTACCAATGGAAATGATAAATTAATTTATCCTCCTATACTTTGAATAAATAATTCAAATTTTGGGTTTTTTTTTGGGGGGGGGGACGATTGTATTATTTAGATAGCTTTAAGCGTAGACTTTACGACTGGTGTTGTTAAACGGATCGTTTTGAGCCGGTTTTTAAAAACCGCTAACCCAATGTTTTATTCACACAAATATTGGGCAAACCTTTCGTGTTTGCTCATAGATGGCGCAAAGGTTTGAACATTATTAATTAACGAAAATCTATAATCTTACACCATATTTAACTGGCTAAAATATAGAGTCAGCTGTTTTTGAAAATCGGCTCAGACATGTATATTTAAATTTTTTTTATCATCTATAATTTGCTCTCAGGTTACATTTACCTTCTTGCAATCTCAACAACAAATACCTGGAGGAAATGAAGGAATCCGATGTTCCGGAAGTGGTAAGACTTACATATATTATCCTTTTTTTTGCCACTAGGAAATGGAAAAATTATAAGCTGCCGAGGAAAATAGAAATTTGCTTAATTTCTTTAGACTTTTTAAAAAAATGTAAATTATATTTATTTTTTTTTAAAAATACAAGCTTTTGGTCAAGAAGGTTTACCCCGACGAAGATAAGAGCAAGAGGCTAAAACATGCCAGGAATAGTCGGAAATCTAAACTAAATTTGTCCGACCAGGACGCTTCCGTAGATACCCAGACTTGTGTTGAAGATAGGTTTTTTTTTATTATTTATAAATTTTTTAGTTTATCGATAAGTTTTGACACATTCATATAATTAAAATAAAAATTTTATCTTATTCTTTTTTGGAACTAACCTTGAAATTTTTTTATCGCAATTCCGAATTTATACTATTCGATATTCATCTATTCGCAATTAAAGCCTGATATTTTTTTATTACGATCATTATTAATAATTAAATTATATTCCTTTTTATTTCGCGTTAAATCATTTCCTTACGCCAAAACCGTTAAAGCGATTATAACGAAGTATTGGAGACCCTCGAAGAAATTAATCTGGAGGGACATTCTCGGGGACCCGAAAATAAGAGTTCCTTGACCATGGACATGGATGACGCCGAAAATTCTAGCCGACCAAAGTTGAGCTTGCAAAAAATGCTAGAAGATTTTCACATGGATTGAAAAATTTTAAATTAAAAAAATTTATTTTTCGTGTTTATTATTGATAATATTATTTTATCATGGCAACTTTCGCGACAATGAATGTTTTACGTTACGTATTATAATATAAACATAACATATATATATATATTAACTTTTATGAGAAGAAGAAAAAATTCGTAAATGGGTGTTTCCATACAATTATAGCTCTCCTCATTATAATTATTTATTATTTTAGCGTGCGAAAAATTTCTTCATAAAGGATGTTTATATATAAGTGTATCTCCGCTAATGGCGATAATCCTATAATTAATTTGCAATTATATTTCTTTCGAAATTAAATTAAAACATTTTTTTTTAAATCCACTAAATAATATAGTGTTCTTTACAATCTCTTTTTTAATGTAATCAATACGATCAATTAACTATTTCAAAATTAATACACCTGTTTAATAAATCACTTTACTTTAAGTTAAATTCCGTTCGGTTCTATATAACGAATCGAATATTAAAATTTCCTTCCTATGCACCGCACCCTGCACCAGAAATGTTGAAATAGCATGGTAACTCGCTACTAATTTAGAAAGTAGCTAAGTAGCGCTATTTTTATATAATTAAATAGGCATAAAATTTAAAATATATTTAATTAAATTAATTCTAAAAATCATGATCTTTTTTATTTAATTTTAAAAATTTAAATTTAACTGCATTATAAAAAGCTAGTTTTTCAAAATAATTTATAAAATGTCGACGATAGAGATTGATATCGAAGATAATTTTGATATGGATCTATATCGACAAATGTAATTTTCCTAGGAAAAGGAATGATGATATGGAATTTTCATTTCCTAAATTGGCATAATTAAAAAAAAAATATTAACGCAGTGTATTAATTTTATTGTAAAGATGGACAGGAAGGCTTTATCATCAAACAAGACTAGTATAGCTTCAATGTGGAAACATTTTGAAAAAAATTTAATATCAATGTATAGCCCAATCCTAAATCTTTAAAATAAAATTAGAATCAAAGCTGTATCTAAAATAGTTTTTGTGAGCTAGATGAGTTTAATGTGAAATTTCGATTTTCTGGCCAAGTCCAAACATGGTATGTTTCAAACTAAGCTATAAAATATTATTCAAAAATTACTATAAATAATATATTATTAACATTTCATTTTATCATCACAGGACTCATCATCTATTTAATGATAAAAAAAATTTTATAAATTATTATCGTAACGTTAAAACATGCATTAAAATTAACCAATTTTTATCAAAACAACAGAGTTGTTGTTAAAGGATCTAGATATAAAAATGTGGTATCTGTATCTAGATACCGCATTTTTGATTAAATAATCTGTATCTAGATATTATTTTAGACGTTGTATCTGTATCTAGATCCATTTAAAAAGTATCTTTTAACAACTCTGCAAAACAAATACTTTAAAAAAAAAAATTATTTCAATCCTTTCACGTTTTAACCCTGCACGATCACGAACTAAATTTTTATTATTTGCCCAGCAAAACCCAATCAGTAATATAAACCTAAATTATCTGTCCACTCGGCCCCGGTTTATTGGTGCCTTGTTTTCTTGCAGCAAGAATCTTAAAATTTATCGATTATAAAAATGCGTGATATTTAAATTGATATAGCCCGACCCGGCCCAGCCCGTATCATATTTTTTTTTTAAATGAACCCTCCTCGGGTTCGGACCGGACCTTGATTTGAAGATCTTGAATGGAAATTTTATAATTATTGATATGCAATAATAAATATAATTATATATATATATATTTTAAATTTTAAATTATTTTATTTGTGGAAAATAGAGATGGGTAAAAAAAAATAATATTTTTAAGAAAAAAATTCTTAAGTTAAGGTAAAAAGTAGCTTTAGTTTACTTCTTCTTTTTTTTTATTGAAGTAACTAATAGCGCGCTACTTTTTTTTAAAACGCTAGCTATAATAATAGCACGTGCGCGTTACTTTTTTTTGATAAATAGCGGTAGCGATATCGCGATACTTTTAAAAGAAGCCTATAACAACACTGCCCAGAACCCTACTCTCCCCATAAAAAATGTTTACTGTTTACAAGCGGGGGTGTTAGCTTGACTTGTACGTTAGAATTTTTAGGAATTAGTCGGGATTTAGCTCAATATAAAGAATTTAATTTTAAATATAAGATTTTAAAACGATTCTTTATTATAAAAAAAAGTTAACTGATGATAAATAATACATCTTCTTTTTTTTATATACAAGGTAAATCCATTATCTAAAACATATAAAATCACGTTATCCAATCTACAACATACAATATATTATTACAATATATCGTTACTAAAAAAACGATCCCCCTAAACCTTATAAAGTTACAAACATGTAACCAATATATCACTATAAGGCAGAATAAAATTAATAAAAATTTGAAAATAAACGACTTGTAAATTCTTAAAAATTTTTTAGAGAGAAAAATTAGTGAAAACCGAGATTTATTTTTTAAAAAAAATCCAATATAGCCAAAGACCTACAATAAGTGGACCTAAAAAATCTCCAAATAATATTTATGGCGGGAAAGCCCCAACCTAATAGTTCTCCCCCCCCCCACCATCTCTTTAACGAAATCCAGGATACCCCTATGTCCAAAACCATATGATTTTTTTTTAAAGAATAAATTGGCCGAAATCTTTAGATAAGATTAATAATTTAGCCGCAATGATTGCAACGTTACATTGAAACCCACGATAGAAAAATTTTTAATGGGCAGGTTGGGGCTATGATTGATAAACATCAGAGTAGGAAAATGAATAAGCGGCTATTGACTTAAGAGATACGAACCATGACCGGAATAATAAATAATTTCAGAAAATCATGATTGAACGAAAATGTACCTTTTTTTTGATTCTGATGGATTTTTTTTATACTGCTTTCCAGAGTTGTTAAAAGATACTTTTAAAATGGATCTAGATACAGATACAGATACCACATTTTTATATCTAGATACAGGTTCCATATAAAAACTCGCCCATCGCAATTTACCTGACTTATTAAATGCAATAAGAATAGTTTTACTCCCTTTTCAAATAATATCGCTTTGACAATTAGAATAAAAAAAAACATATTTAGTTTAATATTATAAGAACCTTCGTTCAATCTTGGCATTAAGCCAAGTTGCTCATCTATCACTCCCCCCCCCCCACCATCGCCTTTCTCTCTATTCAACGAGACGTCCCATTGATAGCCCGTACTCTTAAGGTCCACGCTGTTTACAGCTGTATTTGAAGAGGTTTCTTTATGACCGGAAACCTTTGCCTGACACTATCCTCTAACACTTACGAGAATCCTAGATCATATGAAATCGTTTATCCTCCATTACCCGTATGAAGACCTGAGAGAGCGCCTTTACCTTTAGATTCAACGGGCTAACAGCCTTCCAACCCCTTACCCCAACCCACATCTCCCACGGATAGATTGCTCCTATTCCCAGTGAAAACTGAAACTAGTATTCTTGACATTTTTATTCCAATATTAAATTCCTGAAGGTCTGTTTTTTTTTGCCAAGCCTTAAAATAAAAGTCAAATATCTTCTGCATTTATAAATTCAAAAAAAAAATTTATGAAATCAAAATGTGTCATCAAACTTACTTGGCGCCATATTTTTTTTTTCTTATTATTCACGTCGCCTGTCAAAGACTCCTCCCACCCCCCCCCCCCCCCATAAAAAACGAAACTAATAGGAAAAAAAAATAAACAAATCACGTGATGTATACGTCATCATATCCCGTCAAAACTCACTCGCGCCATATTTATTTTTTTCTTATAATCTCGTGGACGTGTCGAAGATCACCCCCATAAAAAACGAAACTACCAATTGGAAGAAGAACATATACATCACGTGAGTCACGTGATGAATATGTTCATCATATCTCGACAAATCGCGAGGGTTAAAAAAAAATATATTTTGGAGGGATCATTCACCGATTCCATATTTCATCATTTTATTTTTAAAATAATGAAAACAACATTTTAATTAATTTTTTGCCCCCTTGCGCCCAAAAAAATGTATAATTTCCCCGAAATATATAAATGATATTCCTATTTACCGTGTGGAGTCTTAGGAGCTGTTCTTTGTTTCCCGTTTTAAGATGATATCCGAGCTGATTCCTTAGGCTGGAAAATAAACTGGATCATTTTTGAAATTCCACCATCGATAGAATCTCATTCAGCGTCTTCCTTGAGAGATGAAAATATTTATTTTTTACCAACTATAAACTAGTTATGTGAGCGTTGGGTAAATAGCCGGGAATTCCTATGTAATTAACCCGCGAAATATTTCCCATTCAGTTTTCAATAAATATTTTTTATCCTGGTTGAACTTTCAATAGATCCAGGTGGGGTGGGGTGGGGTGGGGGGGGGCAAGTTTTTAAACATATTCTTTTTATATATTAATATATCATAATATACCGATACAACTAGTATCTTAATTAAAAAGATACAAAATATTTGTATCTTAAAAGATATCACATGGACGCTCCGCTAGAGGTTTAACAAAGATTCAATTAAGGCGTTTTTTTCATTCCCGCCTTCTTCTATCCATTTTCCTCTGAAAGCCAAATGGCCCAAATGAGACCAGAATAAAAACAATTTTTACCGTAAATTTATTTGACACACACACAAAAAAAAAATTAAATTAAAACTCCCTCAAGGAAAATAAGTGTCTTCCCTTTTTTATATATTTATATATTTATATATATTCAAACAACAAAAAATTACATTAACATAAAAATAATTATCCTCTTTTTTATATGTAAAAAATTAACAAAATATTTCTCCTTTTTTTTTAAGTCCCCAAAAATAATATAAATTTTCCTTAAGTTGAGACAATTATTTTGTTTGTTATACAAAAATTTACCTGAATAAGTCGCCAGCCAGTCAAACACCCATTAATGGATTTCTTGTGCATAATTTTCTTATCTTTAATTTTGTGTTATAAAAAAAAAAATAGATCCTATAATATTAAAAGGATGCAAAAAAAAATTTTCTAATATATTAAGGCGTTTATGCTTTAAATTTGGCGGTATATGATTCATAATGGTTTAAAAATATTTTTCTTTTTCGCAAAATTAATATTAAATTAATTTTTCCACTTTAAATTTAAAAATATATATATATAAATACATAAAAATAACTAAAAGAAATATTTCGTTTTTTTTGCAAAAAAAATCCAATTTTTGTATAAATTTAAAGAGAGTTTTTGAATGTTAAATGATAAAAATCTGGCATTAAATTCTGAACTCTTTAAACATTATTTCTTCTCTTTAGGTTATATAACGATATTATTTTTCTTTAAAAAATATAGACCAATATTAAAGGGGTTAAAAAAAAATTTTAATATATAAAGCTTTTATGCTTAAATTCGCTTCGTGGTATATGTATAAATTTTTTTTTTTTTAAATTTTTTGCCTAATTATTTATATATTTTTGAAACAAATCTTTAACTTTCCACTTACATTTTAAAGCAAATAAGCTTTTTCTTTAAAAAAAATATATTAATATATAAATATCAGAGTTGTTAAAGGATCTAGATACAAGTATCTAGAATCTAGATATAAAAATGTGGTATCTGTATCTAGATAGATTTTTGATTAAAATATCGGTATCTATATATTATTTTAGACGATCTATCTATATCTAGATTCATTTAAAAAGTATCTTTTAACAACTCTGCTAAACATATAAAAGAAACGAATGGTTATAGAAAGATTAAATAGATTTTTTACAAAAAAAAATCCAGTTTTTGTATAAATTTAAAGAGAGTTTTGATGTTAAATGATAAAAATCTGGCATTGAATTCTGAACTCACGTTATTTCTTCTCCTTAGGTTATAAAAAATATTATTTTTCTTGTAAAAAAATAAACCAATTATAAGTAAAAAATTCTAATATATTAAGCGTTTATGCTAAATTCGTGGTATATAATTTATAATATTTGAAAAAAAATTCTTTTTAGCATAATTTATTATAAATTTTTAAAAATAAATCTTTAATTTTCCACTAAATTTTAAGCATAAAATAATCCAGTTTTTGTATAATATAGAGAGATAATAAAAATGCAGCTAAAAATATTAGATAAGCTATTAATAATATGATAATAGTAAAAAAAAAAATATAATATTAGTAAATCACACATGTATAAAGTCATTAATTCTTGCTATTTTTTATTGATTGAGATACAAGTTCCCTTTTTAACGTTAACATTATAATAGTCAGCAAAATGGGCAAAGTCTATATGCATAAGGATGTTCAATTAGGGGGGTTTCGTATATTGAAAAAATGAAGCAGCTGAGATAGTTGTATTTTACTATGTTTATGGCTAATCTTTGGAGTAGGTAAAATCCTTCGTTGGGATCTTTGGTCCTAGCAGAGATCTGGGAAGGAAATTCAAATAATATTATAAATATCTGAACTCTCAAACCTTTAGTTTTTTTTAAAAAACTTTGCCTATATTTAACATAAAAAAAATTTAATTTGAATGACTACATCCTCTTTATTCCATTTTGGGAAATATGAATGACTGGCATTTTGGCAATGTTTTCCAACTAAACTTTCGAACAAAATTTTATTTATTCTTTAATATAATTCAAAACAAAAAAAAACACAACTTGAAGTTCGGTTTGATTGACACGTGTCCCAAGGAAAGGAGTAGTGTTGTTATAAACGGCTCGTTTCGAGACTATTTTTTAAAAAATTGCCAACTTAATATTTTATCCAGAATAATGTCACCCAAGCCTGAAAATTTTTGCTCATAGATGGTACAAAGTTTCAAGGCATCTATTAGCGAAATCTTGAGATTTATGGCAAGATTATTCTGTCTAAAATATTGAGTCAGCAGAATAATCGGCTCATAACGAGCCGTTTAACTCCACTAGAAAACGAGCATCATAATTAGTTGATTTAAAAGTAACAATATGATTTTGTTGCCAAACATTTTCCATCATATTTTATTAATAACTTTCTTAAAAAGTTGTTTAAATACATACTTTGCCGTAATTATTTATAAATAATAGCGTTTGGATAAAATTCAAAAATAAAAAAAAACTAAAGAAATAAATAATAAAGAAAGAGTTTACGCGTTATATGGAAAATAAAATTTTTAAAAAAAAATCATAATATTATTACCCTAGGTGTGGACCTGTTAGTAGTGAAGACCACGGTCCGGTATTTGACCCGAACAAGATCTGCTGTCTTTAAAAAGATCAGTAGTGGTCCTATAGGAAAAAACCGATCCTGGAATGTACGTTTTTTTTAAAATCTAATTTAATTCTTGTTTATTATCGTCTGATATTGCAAAATGAAAATTCGCGACAAGAACATTTAAAATAACTCCTCTAGAAAAAAAAATTAAAATAAAATAAAATATGCAAAAAAAAGAGAGAGAGATAGGTAAAAATAATTGTATTATTAATTGAAGTTAAATATAAAGCAAACTTGAATATTAATTTATTATTTTTTTTACAAAAAACCGTTCTGGACCATAAAAAACCCCGGTTTAAACTGTTGTCCTCAAAGGTCGGCCGGAAAGAGTAGGAGCTGAACATTGTATATGTTGACGCATTCCGAATATATTCTATGCAGTCGGGATTACTTAGAGTGTTGTTAAACAGCTAGATTTAAGTCCGTTTTTTTAAAAACGGCTAACTCCATATTTTATCCTGAATAATATTGCACAGGCCTGAAGAGTTTGCTCATAGATGAACACAAAGATTCTAAGACACCTATTTAGCGAAATAATCTAGCAGGGTCTGGCTTAAAATATTGGTGTTAGGCCGTTTTTTAAGTGTAATAACATTCATTACTTAGGACTTTTCACCGATAAGTCAGACCACGTTGCCCCAAGGGAGGCGAATACAAGCCTCCCACTGTCCATTCCACAAATCAGACTTATTTTAATAGAAAAGAAAGAAAAACCTTCACGATAAAATAATTTATATATTTTATGATTTATTGAAATTAAAAATGTTTTCGAAAAAAAATAATATTTAATAGGGTAAAATAATGTTATTTATAGCTTCTGGAGTTTTTATCTTATCTTATATAATATTATTATTTATTATTGTCATACTGTCTTCTATTTTCAAACTAGCCAAATCATAAAAAAATTTAACGAATTTTGTCAATATATTCATTTATAAAGAATTATAAAAATATACAGGTGAACGAAGGCGACCTTTGTCGCGAAAATTATCTTCTTATATTTTCATCCCAAAAAAAAAGTGTAATATTTTTGTCACCGATGTCTTTCTTTCTTTTTTATATTGAGTTCATTATTTTATTTTTTATTTTTAAAGATAAATAAAATAAAAAAAAGTAAAATAAATAATTTCTATTTTAATTTAAATAATTTCTTTTTATTCTTAAATTATTTTCTTTTCTTATATTTTTTTTTGAATTTTATTTTTTTAAAAAAAAATATTTTTTTTTTATATAATAAATTAATTTTTAAAGTGTATTTTATTTTTTTTATTTTCATCTATTTTATTTTTAAAATTATGAATATTTATTCATCTATGTCAATATTCTGGGTCGCACTAGTCAATATATACGTGAGTGAAGTCTTAATTTAATTAAATTTATTAAAATGGCGTGAAGCCATAACAATAAAGTAGGGGGGGGGGGTGAACTTGTTCGAAATTTTTGTCGATAAAAAAATACTGAGTGACATGTTTAATAAATCAAAGGTTTATTATGATGTAGTCAGGAGTTGGACTACCTAGACCTAGACTGACGATGCGGTCATAATAATGCACTTGAAAGCGTCGGTTGAATGCAAATCAGCTGGACCCGCCATTTTGGTAACCCATATAGTAATTATTCTCATGTTAAAAACTACTATTAAATTGATAACTTGCTTCCTAAGGTTTGCGTAAAACATAGGAATAAATTAGGCTCTCGTTTAAAATTTTAATAATTGATTAGGGTAACCAAGATGGCGTCCCCAGCTGTTTTTTTTATTGATGCACACTTTTAATGACTACATTGTTATTAAGTTGGGCACACATTTTTTTTATAAATAAATTATATATTAAAAATAAAAGTAACTGAATAATAAATACAAATACATTTTTTTAAAAAAAAGAAGAAAAAAAATAACGAAGAAAGTATCGAAATCCAAAAATTTTGATTCTTATTTTTATTTAGAAAAATTACCAATAAAAAAGCTATGTTTTATCTAAAAAAAAACGTTTAAAACAAGGAACATTAGAGGAAAAACAATTAATCTTTAACTAAAAATGGGTGGCATTTGTGAAAAACGCCCATACATTTTAGGATGAAGTGTAAGTGTATTTTTAACATTTACAGGGCAGATAAATTTAAGGATTCTAATTTATTATAAAATAACTATCTTAAAATATACGAGTTTACGGAATTACAATTGAAAAATTAAATGTTATTTTCATTACCAGGAGCTCCCTTGACAGCGTAACATAATTTGACGGTTAAAATTGAAGGCAGGCACTTTTCGCAAAAGATACAGGAGATAAAATGGTAGGGGGGGGGGGGGGGGTGAGTATAAAATTGGAGGGAGATATTTTATTTTTTTTGGTTGAGCAACAGAATTGGCATTTGCCCCTTAAAAATTTATTATTGATTTTGGAAAGATATTTCGAAGAAGCATTACCTTTTAAATATGGTTAAAAAATGAACATGAATAGAAGATATGGAGAGTCTCTTCCGTATGTTTTTTTTGCTAATAAATATCTTAATTAATATTAAAGAATTTGATTTACTTCAAGTCTCGCTTTCAGTCTGAACGTCGTTCATTTTTTGATTAAAATAGGTGAAAACAGCAAGTGTGTTTTTTTCAGTTCATTGTGTTTTTTTCAGTTTAATGTGTTTTTTACAGTTTAATGTGTTTTTTTCAGTTTAATGTGTTTTTTTCCAGTTCAATGCGTTTTTTTCAATTTTTAATGTGTTATTTTTTATTATAACTTATAAAATCATTTTTTTTTGAGAGCGATATTTAAAATTTTTTATAAAATCTGATTTTCCCGGGAGAAAATTCCAAAATTTAGAAAAACTTACATCTAGGGGTTTTCTTAAAAAATTTTGCCTTCAACTTTTGAACTTAATATAATTTATATTAGTTTTTTTATTTATCCCATAGATTTGTTATATAAAATTATAAAATGTCTCTGAAAATTCGTAGATGGAGGTATTCTAAAGAAAGAAAGAAAGAAAGAAAGAAAGAAAGAAAGAAAGAAAGAAAGCATAGGTAAAAATCAGAATTTTAAATTTATAATTTAAAAATAAAAACGCGTTGAAAAAATAATCGTCAATGTTTTTACTTCCACCAACGTGTTATTTTTTTTTTAACTTTAAATCATTTTTTTGAGCGCGTTTTAAAAAAATTTAAAAAAATCTAATTTTAACGGAAATGCGTTCCATCATGTTTGGAATACCAAATCTTCATGAATTTCGGACAATTTTTTTTCATGAACATTTAAACGTAATTTTAGATTTTCCATATTTATAGTGTTGTGAAGTAACGTCAAAAAAGTAACGTCAAAAAAGTAACGTCGTTACTAACGACGCTACTTTTTTTTTTGAAGAAAAGGAAGGCCATTTGTTACCTCCTTCTAGAGAGGTAACGAAAGGTAACGCGTTTAATTTTTTTGAGTAGCGGCAAACGCAAAACGTTACTCGTTACTTTATATTGTTTTCTTAAAAAAAAATATCAACAAAAAGAAAAACATATTTTATTGTATTATAAAATTACTTTTATTTATTTTTTAAATTCTTTACAGCACTAATTTTTTATATAACTTTATAAATGGCTCAAAGGTTATCAGCAAAGATTGTCTGCAATTCCATAAGATAGGTATTCCAAACATGATGAACTGTATTTCCGGTAAAATCAGATTTTTTTTCAAAATTTAAAAAAACGCGACCAAAGAAATGATATAAAAGTTGTAAATATAAACACATTGCCGATACTAACATATATTCTAGATACAAAAATAAAAGTATTTGTATCTTAAATACATGTAATCGCGATACTGTCCCTACCCTTGAATGCAACAATATTTTTTGGAGCATAGGCATATAAAAATGCTGGGCAAGTTCAAAAACCTTAAAAAAATGACGGCGGGGTACCATCTGATTTGTTGGAAGAAAAAGAAATTGCCGAACCTTTTAACGCTATTAAATTAGTGTTGTTAAAAAGAACGATTATAGGGTCCATTTTTTCAAACTTTTTGTCAGCTGTGTGCAAAATCTTTTGTGGTAATGTTATTTTTTGGTTATAATCCAATGACATGATAATAATACCTAGACTGACTATGCATTCATTAAAAGTGCGCATCAATAAAAAAACAGCTGGGGACGCCATTTTGATTGCCCATATCATAAAAATTTTAAACGAGAGGCCAATACCTTTATGTCTGACGCAAATTTTATTAAAAAACTGATCATCGAGATAAGGAAGTAAGTTAACGATTTATTAGTAAGTTTTTAACATGAAAATAATTACTCTATGGATTACCAGAAATGGCGGGTCCAGCTGATTTGCATTCAACGACGCTTTCAATTGCATTATTATGAATGCATCGTCAGTCTAGATATTATTATATGTCATTTATAATATTAATCGGGCCGTTTTTTAAAAATTGAATCTGACTTTTTAACAACAACACCGCTATTAACGAATTGCTAATCGAATTTTCGCATTTTTAGTTTATAAATATTTTAGTTCATTTGTCGTGATAACCATCATATTTTTTTTTAAATAAATTAGTTACATTTGTGAACACGATTTTTAAAACAATATAAAATATATGAATTATGTCTGCGTGGAGCTATTGATGTAAAAGGTAATAAATTAAGAGTTTGTTATATGACAAGGTGTCATTCAAATGATGAAAAATAAATTTTCGGTAAATAACGCGTCATTTTTTTTTAAAAAAATATTTAGCCACTTCTTTCAGTCAGGCGAGTTTTTTTTTAAAAAAAATCGGATCCATCTTTTTATTGTTTCTTAGATATTCTTGCTGAAGCATTCAGAACAGACCCCGTAAATGTTCCGGTATTCTTCTGAGTTTTCATTCTTGTTCCTTTATTTTGAGTTTCTCATTCTAATAAGCATTATTTAAAAAATATTCATATTATATATATATACAATAGGAATATATATTTATATATATATAACTCCTAAATGAGATATAATTTTATTTAATAATAGATTGGTATATCGTTAGCTCAAATAGGTAAAATTAAAATAATTATGAATATTATAGAATGAATAATGAAAGATATAAGAAAAAAAAAGGAAAGGAAGGAAAGGAAAAGGAAGGAAGGAAGGAAGGAAGGAAGGAAGGAAGGAAGGAAGGAAGGAAAGGAAGGAAGGAAGGAAAGGAAGGAAGGAAGGAAGGAAGGAAGGAAGGAAGGAAGGAAGGAAGGAAGGAAGGAAGGAAGGAAGGAAGGAAGGAAGGAAGGAAGGAAAAGAAAAGAAAAGAAAAGAAAAGAAAAGAAAAGAAAAGAAAAGAAAAGAAAAGAAAAGAAAAGAAAAGAAAAGAAAAGAAAAGAAAAGAAAAGAAAAGAAAAGAAAAGAAAAGAAAAGAAAAGAAAAGAAAAGAAAAGAAAAGAAAAGAAAAGAAAAGAAAAGAAAAGAAAAGAAAAGAAAAGAAAAGAAAAGAAAAGAAAAGAAAAGAAAAGAAAAGAAAAGAAAAGAAAAGAAATTATAAATAATAAATAAATTATAAAAATAAAAGATAAAACGTATTACGGCTGCGATCCCAAAAGCCTTGAGACCAATTGTACCATCGATAATTGTGTGGGGGCTGTCCCTTGCTCCAATAATACGCAAATCGAGTGTTACAACAACATGTGCACGTGTTCAGCCATTTGGTGGTTGGGAGAAAAGATATTCGATTGTAACTCTAAGGATGCCTATGCAGCTCCAGAATTTCAGCCTAGGAAAAGTGGAATCATTCCGGCCAAGATCATTGGATTATTCGGTAATATAAATCATTCTTCCTTCCTTCCATCCTTTCTTTCTTTCTTTCTTTCTTTCTTTCTTTCTTTCTTTCTTTCTTTCTTTCTTTCTTTCTTTCTTTCTTTCTTTCTTTCTTTCTTTCTTTCTTTCTTTCTTTCTTTCTTTCTTTCTTTCTTTCTTTCTTTCTTTCTTTCTTTCTTTCTTTCTTTCTTTCTTTCTTTCTTTCTTTCTTTCTTTCTTTCTTTCTTTCTTTTCTTTCTTTCTTTCTTTTCTTTCTTTTCTTTCTTTTCTTTCTTTCTTTCTTTCTTTTCTTTCTTTCTTTCTTTTCTTTCTTCTCTTTCATTCCAAAATTAAAATTGTTTTTTTCTTCTCCTTTCGCGTTTGTAATTAAAGTTAACCTAGATTGTTATGATGAAGAAGATGGAAAAACGATTTTATTAATCAATAATATTATCTTGATCTATTACCGTTGAATCCATGAATACAGACGCAGCGGGTGTAAATATAATTACAAATGGTGAAATTTGTGGATACTTTATCGAAGACTTGATTATACAAAAGAAAGAAAGAAGAAAAAAAAGAAAGAAAGGAAAGAAAGAAAGAAAGAAAGAAAGAAAGAAAGAAAGAAAGAAAGAAAGAAAGAAAGAAAGAAAGAAAGAAAGAAAGAAAGAAAGAAAGAAAGAAAGAAAGAAAGAAAGAAAGAAAGAAAGAAAGAAAGAAAGAAAGAAAGAAAGAAAGAAAGAAAGAAAGAAAGAAAGAAAGAAAGAAAGAAAGAAAGAAAGAAAGAAAGAAAGAAAGAAAGAAAGAAAGAAAGAAAGAAAGAAAGAAAGAAAGAAAGAAAGAAAGAAAGAAAGAAAGAAAGAAAGAAAGAAAGAAAGAAAGAAAGAAAGAAAGAAAGAAAGAAAGAAAGAAAGAAAGAAAGAAAGAAAGAAAGAAAGAAAGTAAAGGAAGGAATCTTTAAAAACTTTTATTTTTCGTTAGCTCTATTCGACTTTTATATTTACTAGCCATAGGAGGGCAATTTTTTATTCTAGCTCAAGGTAGTTACATAAATGTTTAATAGATCTAATTAAAAGTACAAAAATTACATCTAAGAAACCTAAGGTAATATATAAATAATGATTTGTAATTGGTAAAAGCCCTTTTAATATCGTCAGGGGTTTGAATTTCAATCTTTGTTTAAAGAAGGGAGAAAAAAAAAAGATTATTTAAAATTGTATGCGAAAAATATTTATTAAAGGATATCAAAATATAACTTTCCTATTTATTAAAATCTTTTACAATTTTTCAGACCTTCGAAAATGTAACTCGATCGACATAATGCTAATCATAGTTATATTAGAACTAATAGCATGAAACCCAGTGATCCATCAATACATACATTCACTGGAGTCAGCTGTATAAAGGTATAGTGTTGTTAAAGAGCTCGATTTTGCTAACTTTAAATTTTACGCGAGCCCCGAGATTTCATCGACAGATGTCCAAACCTTTCTATCATCAATGACAAACAGCTACATTCTTGCTAAAATATTTTGTTAGCCGTTTATTTAAAATCGAGTCTTTTAACAACACTAATTGACTGGCATTTGGACGAAATGTGAGAGCAGTCCCTAATTAAGATGAAACTATAGTCATGATTGGAGAAGTGAAGGTTTATTTTTGGAGTCCGAATTTTTTTTTTAGAAAGGCCTGGCTTACCGTTATTCACCTCCCATGGCTGCTCTGTGAAAGTAACAGAAATTTTCAATAACGGCTACTACAGCCAATGAAATTGATTTAGATTCGAACACAATTCCTTTATTTTGAATTTTAACAATACAAATAAGAAAAACATTGATTGACTACTATAAAAAAAATACAATGAGCTATAACGTTAAAAATAATATTTCCATCAAAAACGTATTTAAGACTACAGATTGCACTACGGATGTGAAAACGTTTCGGAATTGGTGGATTGTTACTGGGAAGTTTGCGATACCAATACTAATAATCAAAATAGAGTCAGTAGACCCAATGGTGGCTTGGAAGATATTAACAACGGGGTTTGCCAAGGTTACCCAGGAGCCGAATGTTATCCTAACGCGTGCAAAAAATGTTCCGCCTTCTGGTGGTTCCAATATCAGAAGGTGGATTGTGACGAGGAATATGGAGAACTGAAGCGTAGAAATACGTTTGGTAATGTTTTTAAAAATTATTTAAAGAAGTGTGAGAGTAGTTTAGGCACCTAGAGTATCCGTTCCTTTATATTTATTTTAAATAATATTATTTAAAATACTCATTTTACATACTCACATAATCATCACCTGCACAATATAAATTATCGTATTTTGGTTAATTCTCCCTGTTTTTAACTAGTTTAGATCTTTGACTAGTCAGGTGTTGTTTATAATTAATCTATCATCCCTTTTTTTTTCTACTCGGTGAACTCCTATTCTGTTAGACGTAAAATGATTGTGAAGAAAGAAAGGAAAGGAAAGGAAAGGAAAGGAAAGGAAAGGAAAGGAAAGGAAAGGAAAGGAAAGGAAAGGAAAGGAAAGGAAAGGAAAGGAAAGGAAAGGAAAGGAAAGGAAAGGAAAGGAAAGGAAAGGAAAGGAAAGGAAAGGAAAGGAAAGGAAAGGAAAGGAAAGGAAAGGAAAGGAAAGGAAAGGAAAGGAAAGGAAAGGAAAGGAAAGGAAAGGAAAGGAAAGGAAAGGAAAGGAAAGGAAAGGAAAGGAAAGGAAAGGAAAGGAAAGGAAAGGAAAGGAAAGGAAAGGAAAGGAAAGGAAAGGAAAGGAAAGGAAAGGAAAGGAAAGGAAAGGAAAGGAAAGGAAAGGAAAGGAAAGGAAAGGAAAGGAAAGGAAAGGAAAGGAAAGGAAAGGAAAGGAAAGGAAAGGAAAGGAAAGGAAAGGAAAGGAAAGGAAAGGAAAGGAAAGGAAAGGAAAGGAAAGGAAAGGAAAGGAAAGGAAAGGAAAGGAAAGGAAAGGAAAGGAAAGGAAAGGAAAGGAAAGGAAAGGAAAGGAAAGGAAAGGAAAGGAAAGGAAAGGAAAGGAAAGGAAAGGAAAGGAAAGGAAAGGAAAGGAAAGGAAAGGAAAGGAAAGGAAAGGAAAGGAAAGGAAAGGAAAGGAAAGGAAAGGAAAGGAAAGGAAAGGAAAGGAAAGGAAAGGAAAGGAAAGGAAAGGAAAGGAAAGGAAAGGAAAGGATAGGAAAGGAAAGGAAGTCATGTTAAATACAAAATTGATTAAACAATAATAAAAAGTATCAAAATATATTACAAAAATATTTTAAACAAACGCAAGGTTACAAAGCTAAAATAATCGTAAGTTTTCATCAACATATTAAATAAGGTTATATTCAAATAATACCAATTAAAGTTACATAAATTATCAATACAAATTTAAATTTAAATATAAAAAAATCAATTCCATTATTTAGCATCGGAGTAGCACACTGATATCCGTATTGAACGCAAAGAATGAAATATGTAATCTATATCGATTGAGGAGATGTCGAGATATTTAAGTTCTCTTGCATATTACTCCTCAGAGATTTAATATTGATATGGATAAGTTAGAATTAACTATGGCTTTGTCATTTGTTTTGTGAATTAATATTTAGGCCTCGGTTTGGTGGTATATTTGAGCATATCAATCATCGTGTGTTTTGACGCAATTGTGTAACCTCAAATAAGTAGGAAGAGATTTTATAGCATTGGAGGACATCAGTATTTATTTGAAAAGGTCCAGATAAAGTTCTGTCAAATAAAAAGTTGTTTTTTTAAAACAGTTTAGGCAAAATAAAACTAGATCGCCAAGATGATAGCTGGAAAGCGAAAATATTGTTTTCGAGTAGGCGAATCAAGAGCTAGACTAATATGAATGAAGAACCATGATGTTCGAATTAACGTTTATTATAGGATCTAACGAACTGCATGTTGTGATTTGACGTTGTTGTGTGGAGAGTTGTCTATCAATAATTTTCGAAATTTTTATATCTTTATATAACATTCTCAAATATATAATTTGAAACATTGGAATTAACATTATATATCAATTCATTACCAGGGACAATAATGTTGCAATTATATTTTTAGCCAATATTATATAAAGATATAAAAAAATATTAATAATGATTGATTGACACCTATCCACACTCCAACGTCAATCACGACACTGCATATATTTTTTTTGAGCACATGAATCCTAACTTTTTCGAAATAAGCTTGGAAAGGTGTAATTTCGACTTCCTGCTAGAGAATAAATTCTGTTGAGAATGATTTTTAAAAAAAAAATAAGCCTATCTAATAGTTATAATAGTAATAACCAATTGTTCAAGAAATGTCTTAGGACCCCCGCTTTAATCGAAAATAAAAGAATTATTTACATTTTTCTAAATATCGTATTTTAAAAAGACGGACTGAACGAAATAGGATGCGACGGATATACGTGCAATTGCGACGCGAAGCTTCCCGAAACGACGTGTTATCACGACCCTTGCGTTAACGCCACTTGTTACCTGTACCCGCGAGCCCAATGTAGATCTCACAATTGTTTTCAATGTGAAGCAAGATTTTACGCCGGCGATCGGGAAGTCAAATGTGTTTAAAAAAACGAATGCATAATTTTTTTTAAAAAATTTAAAAAAAAAAAATAAATTAGCGCATTTTTTTATTTTACAATTTATTTTGGCGCGAAAAATAAATTTATTTTGGTTTCGTGTTTTATGATTATTATTGTATTTTTTTTAAGAAAGTTTGAGAATTAGAGTGCTCTATCTGACAACTAACTTTATTTGTTGTAAATATGGTATATCCGCCGTCAAAGTTTGAAGAGAATTAATAATGAAACAATGTTCTTATTCGACAATATATTATAGAAGATGTTTTATATAAAATCTTTCAATTTTAAGAGTCATATAAACTTATAAATTTTTTAAGTGTCAGATAGAGCACTCTAATACTCGAGCGCCGATATGATAATTGAAGTGATCGATACAAAACTAGTGATATTTATAAATGTGATTAAAATTATATTTTATATTTTTATTGTTTTTTTTTGTCCTCCAATAATAAAATTAAATATATATAATCAAATATGAAATTTAAATTTGAATTATGTTTATAATGATAATAAGTATAAAATAAAGAAATATTATTAAACAAATTGTAATAATTATATTTTTTTTAAGATGTATAATAGTTGATCCCTAGTTATATATAATATTAAAGTATGTTATCTTAATATTCATAAATTTTAAGCACTTGTATAAGTTAAATAGATTGGATTTAATGGTTGAAAATGGCTTAGAAATTCTTTGATTTTAAAAAAAAAAAATTCTCTACGTTTTTATGGATAAGAAATGTGAATAAAAATAATTTACTATACTGATCTGCATCAGGCCTATTTTTAGATGACCGATCCGGCCCGAAATTTTTTTAGGTTTTAGCGGTCAGGCCCGAACCAGAAATTTAAGAAATAATTTGCTATCCTGACCCGAATTTATTTAAAATAAAATTTTCCTTTTAGTTCTCACCTTTTCTGGTGGTAAGCTCCTTCAATATCTCTCTCCACTTTATGTTATTCGTGCTATCTCTTTTATCTAATTTATATTTCCTTCATATTGGCTCTAACCTCATGGCCCCATTGAAGTTTTAGCCTTACTCTTTTACATTTGTCCATCACTTCCAAACTTTTAACCCTTAGATATATAGTAATTAATTATTTTTTAAAAAATTATAAATCTAAATTTTTTTTAAAAAATTATTATACCGAAAATAAAAGATATAATGTCATATGGCGTCGAGTTTCTACCAATAAAATTAAATATTTATACTTTACATAAAAAATTCGACATAAAATTGATAAAAGATATATTTTAAAGGCCAGAATTTTTTAAAAATAATATTAGGCCCGGGCTGAACCTAAGCCCGTACAGGCCGGGATGCAGATCTCTAATTTACTATTTATTTTTAGAAACACATAAATATAATGATACACATCCATTGAATTTATTATAATATAATTCATGCTGTTTAAATTACCAATTATTTTTACAACATAAGTATGTTTGTATTGGTAGGGATGGGAATAATTTAGTTATTGTGATTTTATCAAAAATTAAGAAAAACTTCTTGCCCGACCGAAGGCTAATAAATTTCCTAGGTAGGTATTTTTATGAGTGATCAATGATTATTAACTTTTCCAGCAAAGTTTGACACCTGACAAAATTTGAGAAATTCAATGTTCGTCCTAACGGATGTTTCCTGAAGATGGCTGGAATCAAATAGCAACTTGATGTGTTTTTAAATTGTTATAACTCTTTTATTATTTAAATCATTGTGTATATATATATATATCAACTTAATATATCGATTTTTTTTAATAGAAAAATTTTCTATTCAAATAAATATTGCCATTTATAAACTTAGCTAAAAATTATATGGTTGATAGATGAGATGCTAAGTTAAGGTTTTAAATTCTGATATAGTAGATAAATAAAAAAAAATGAGAATGAATAAGAAAGAACGAAAGAACGAAAGAACGAAAGAACGAAAGAACGAAAGAAAAGAAAGAAAGAAAGAAAGAAAGAAAGAAAGAAAGAAAGAAAGAAAGAAAGAAAGAAAGAAAGAAAGAAAGAAAGAAAGAAAGAAAGAAAGAAAGAAAGAAAGAAAGAAAGAAAGAAAGAAAGAAAGAAAGAAAGAAAAAAAAATAGATAGATAGAAAGAAAGAAAGATAGAAAAACTATATTTTTTTAAAAATGCAACGCATAATTTAGGAATTTTTAAGATCATATTAAATATAAAAAAATTGTTCAAAACAATAAACAAGCAAAATATTACTTTAGGATGTGTCCAAAATGTTTTAAAAAAATATCAAAATTTTAAAATTTTCGCAAATTAATATGAAACTTGTCCGAAATTTTCCATCATCTTTTTTGAAGTTTTGTAAAAATTAAAATAAAGAAAAACAAAAAAAAAAGAAAAAATGAAAGAAAGAAAACAAAAAAAAAACTTTTGTTAACTTTAACGTGACAAAAATTTTATAAATTTTGTTACTTTTTCTTTAATAAAATTTATTTCTATTAACGTTGTAAATTTTATATTAAATAAAGATAATTATTCTCTTTTTATTTTGATTATTAAATCAATTAATTATATATATATATATACTAACTTCTTTTATCTTAAATTTAAAAACCCCATAATCTTTCTAATCTCCAGTTGATTACCAATTGATATAAAAAACAATAAACATATGTGGCAATGAGTACTCCGAACAAAAAAATGTAAAGAAATAATTCGTTCAGAATTACCTATACAACAACCTTTAGTTAAATAAGATAAATTAATATTTTCATCCCTCTATAAAAAATTTTTTTGAAATACTATTCATTTATAGCTTACATATAAAATATTATAGTGCAAATTATAAAATTATTTTAATCAAAAATTTATAAAATTTGATGAAAATACATATATATTTTTTTTCCTTTTAATTGTATTAATACAGAATTAATTTAAATCACTTTAAAATTGTTGAAAACAGTTTTTAAAAAAGTATTTTGTATCTTAGATACTTTTTAAAAAAATAGGATACAGGCATTTTGTATCTTAAATCTTATTGAAATTTTTACTAAGTATCTAGTATCTTGTATTTTATATTCAAAATTTTAAAAAGTTTCTGTATCTGTATCAGGATATAATTTTCTAAAAATTTGCCAACCCTAAGTATATGCATAGCTCTAAAAAAAATATATAATTTAAATTTTCACCTGTGCTTATATCCTGAGATATATCTACCTTTAAAAAAGTAAAAATTTCTAAATACACATTTAACTTTATATATCTTAAAATAATAATTTGGCTAAAATCATGATTTAAAAATTATTATTTGTTCTATAATATAGTAAAAAATTTTATAGTCATAATATCACCATTAAATGAAAACCAAAAAAATGCCAAAATAAAATTCTAATTGAGTCTGAAAGTTCAGGCATTTCTACTTTAATCCAAGAAAATTAATGAAGTTTCATTGTGGTTGTCATTTAATTGAACACTGAATGGGTCTTTGATTCGATTACTAATCATTTTAGGAAAAATCCCAGGAATTATCGAGCTAAGTATATAAATAATTTTTAAAATAAAATTAAAAATGTATTTATATAAGAATTGAGGAAATTTAAAAATATTAAATTTATCATATGAAGAAACAAAGATATCAGATTGAAGTTATGCCACTGGAATGAAATTCTTATAATTTATAAAAATAAAAGGAAAACAATTAAAAAAAAGAAATATATAAAAAAAATGGTAAGGAATTTAATTTTATCTAAATATAAATGCGGCTAGGGTAAAATTATATAGGAATGATTGACATCGACCTCCTGATTCGCTTTTTTAAAATATTAACCCTTTTTAGTAAGGTACTTTTTATTTTTTTAAAAAAATGCCTTTTACTAAAAATTTCATACCATTAATAAAAAATGGTCAAAATTTACCACCTTTACCTTCCATAAGCGATATCATTCATCTATATAAGCTCAGTGCTATACGTCAACTTGCTCAAAATTTTATACTTGATATGAATTTAACTCGTAAAATTGTAAAACAGGCAGGGAATCTTAAAGGTAATTATTTTTTTTATTAATATTATATACCAAATTTATTAAGGTTCACATGTTTGCGAAATAGGCCCTGGGCCTGGAGGCATTACTAGAGCTATATTAGAAAATAATATTAATGAATTGGCAGTTATTGAGAAAGACAAACGATTTTTGCCATCCTTACAAGTAATATAAAATCATTCTTTATTTCTTTAATCATATATTTTCATAAATCTGTAAGATAATTATATATTTATACCAATTTTAAAGGTTCTTATATAAAGTATATAAAAAAATCACATATACAATCAAATAATTGATCTTATTTATTAAGATTTTAGCGGATTCAGTTACATCAGAAACAAAAATGTCAATTTATCATGCAGATATTTTAAAATTTCAAATGGATTCCATATTTCCACAAAATGTAGCTACTTCATGGAGTGAAACTGACTCTAATATCAATATTATTGGTAATTTAATATTAAAACTTTTTCTCATAGTTTATGATTTGATTTTGGAACTTCTACCATGGATTGGGTAGGGGGATTATAACACAAGATTTTCATAGAATTGGAGGTTTAGGTAGCTATGAGAATGTTATTGTCATTTGAATAAAGTTGAAGAGGGGTGGTTTTAAATTGGAATCCCTTTTTTGCTAATTTTGGAATTTCCTTTTATAGAGGAGTGAGCTTATTGGGATATATTTTTAAGTCCATCATTTAATCCTCAATTTTTTAAACTTTTAGGAATAGATGTACTGGTTAGATCTGGATCAGTGTTAGATCTTACATTTTTTTTAACTGTTTACAAAATTAAAACTAAATTCATATTATGTTGACTAAATTTTTTAAATTTATGAAATCCTTAGTAAATATTTTATATAAGACCCAGACTTTGTTGGGTACTGCTAAAAAAGTAAGTTAGGTTTCAGCTTAATGCATAGAGATTTATAGCTATATACATTACTCAAAAAAGTAACGTCGTTACATTTTGCATTACTAAGCACAAATAGTAAATCTGATTTGGTTGATTTTCTAAACAAGCAACGCCAATATTGTAACAGTTACTATGTAAAAAGATTAAATAAAATGTTTTTTTCTTTTTTTTTATCAATCACTATGTATTTATTATACAAAACAAAAAAAATTGGACAGAATATATTTTTTTAAAGATTTTAATAGTGAATTGTTTTTCAAATTTATTTTCCAGCACCTCATTTGCTGTACTGAAACCTGATTAATAGGCACTGACAATGGCAGGGGTGTATTATATTTTGTAATTAAATATTTAAAAATTGTTTTAGTTTTCTTTTCTAAAGATGCATATTTTCTCTAGAAGAATATTGACAGTTCATCATCCAAATCATCAGACTCTTCATCACATATAAGCATTTTTTTTCTTATCATGGGAATGATTCATAACACAAATATCCATCTTGGATGTCTTAACTCTTTTATATATTTTTATTTATATAATTTTTTTTTAAATATAAATATTAGACCCTGGATATTAAACAATAATAAAAAATTATGAATTAAAGGTAAATAATAAAATAACGATACTTTATTTATTACATTACATTTTTGAATATTTTGAGGCTGGCTTTAAAATTAATTTTTTTTTAAAGCCTAGAATATTCTGGGCTTTGCCCCATTTTATTTCATCTATCCTAATTTTTATAAAAAAAATATTCGTCTGCTTATTTTTTTTTATTTGAAATTATATTAATTATTATTAAAATTCAATAAATTTATAAACTTTTTATTTTTGAAATAGGAGGAAGAATCACAAAATATTCATTTGCTAAATCATTAATTAATTCATTGTAATAAAGGAAAATGCTGGAAGAAAGACAGCAAATCGATTATCCTTAAATCGATCTAATATTGGTGATATAACCGCAGAAATATAACAATAAATGGATTTTAGAGCCTACTGGTTTAAAAAAAAGGATTTGATAAGATTTATGCAATTGAAAGGCAAGTTTACATATATTATCAAATAAGATTACAATAAGATATTCTTTTCTATGGTAAAGGAATTTGAAATTCTGTTTACATTCTATTTTATGGAGCATTAACAAGAAACCAATTTTAACAAGATTACACTAGAAGAAAAGATTTAATTGAGCTTTCAATTTTTTTTATGCAGAAACCTATCATCATAATTTATTACCAATAATCGTTGTTTCCTCAAAATGGATACCCTTGTCATTCCACCAAATATAAAAACTATTAAAAGGATCATAAATATCAATGTTACCTTATTGCTCCAGTTTTTAATCCTATTGAAATATTTTTGGAATTTTCTCAAACGAGAGCCTTGAGATCAGCAACCTTGAGGAAAATTTTTTTAGAGAATAAGTTAAGAGTTTATTTGGAAATCGATCTCCAAGTGCGTCAAATTCTAATTTGGAATAGCCGCGGAATGATCCATTAGCATAGTGGGTAATTTTTATTTACAAACTTTAAATTGCCTGTAATTTTTAAGATAGGGTTATTCTACACCGAAAATATTTTTTCCCCGTGGATCGGCAATTCGTTGGAATGCATTTCCCACAAGATCAGCCGATTTTATGAATATATTTCATGTGTTCTTTCTTTTTCTTTAAATATTATTCTCAATATTTATACCGTGTTTCAGATTACTGTTTGTTTAGTCACCCACACCCCCTCTCCCCCAGGTTATTCTTTGGGAGATGACAAGCAGTTTATAGATATATGTTATTTTTTTAAAAAAATGGCACATACAGGACACTAAATAATTAATATATTTTTTTTAATTTGAAATTCAATAAATTCTTACAGGAAATTTACCCTTCAACATATCACTACCTTTACTCCTACGATGGCTGAGGGAAATGGACGCCCGAAATGACCTCTTCGCATTGGGCAGGGTCAAGATGACGCTCACTTTCCAAAAAGAGATAGCCGAAAGGATGATAGCTTTACCCGGCAGTAACCAAAGGTCCAGGTTATCAGTTATAACCCAATCTCTGGCACATGTCGACCATAAATTCACTTTCTTGGGTATAATTTTTACAAATGAATGTATGACTTTTTTAAATCGTTTCTAGAGCGCTTCTCCAGCACAGTCATTTGTTTAAAAAAACTCAGCATAGTTGCCTCTTTTAATACATTATCATTTTGCAAAAGTATTTTAAAAAATGGCTGCGCCCTAGTTAGATTTAATTATGTTCTTGATTGTTAATTCTTTTGAACTTCCTTTTTTTCTGTTTATTCAGAGCAGCTATTTAGAATTTCTAAAAAGACTTGAGCTTAGGAGGCAGCTTAAAGAATTTGAAAGTTACATCATGTGATTCAAAAAAAAAGATTTTTAGAACGAATGAATGAAAAAAATGTATATATTATATGTATCTTATATTTTAAGGAAAGGCCTGTGTCCCCCAGCCCCAAGTTGACGTGGGCGTAGTAAATATTCACCCCAAGGAAAAACCTACCTACGAAATGTCCTTCGATATATTTCACAAAGTCGTTACCTCCATTTTCAATTTCCGTCAGAAGTTTTGCAAGAGAGGCGTCGAGTAAGTCACCCTCCACCTTAACATTATATTATGAGATTTTTTTAACATTGTCGAAAAGGGTGGGAAGAAAAGAAAGAAAGAGAGAGAAAAAGAAATAATACTTTGCACATACGCTTATTTAATTTGCCAAGTTAATCTTAAAAAAAGTTTTATAACCCCCAAAATTGGTATTGCTCTTTAAAAGTGGCCAAAATTTATTTTTTTATATACCTAGTGGAAATTTATTCATAATTAAAGTTAAATTCCGCTTCTTAAACTCAAAAAATCTTTAAAAAATTTTCAAGTGGAACACCACAATTCAAGACCAACGAAAATGCCTTTCCCTTCTCATTGAGTTTGAAGAGGGGATTAGATATTTTCGGGTAGCGATTATTTCCTTTCTAGTCAGTTTAATCTTGAGGTAGATTCTTCTATTCAGAAACGTAGTTATAAGTATAGCATCAATATTATCGATTTTGACTTAAAGTGAATTGAAAGTGGAAAGTGCAATAAAAAAAAAATCTAAATATAACATCTATCCAGGGACTTAGCTATTTAGAATTCTGAAAAACGGTTTGAACGATACGCCCAATGACATATAATTACCTACACCTTACGATGTATTCATAATAATGCATTTGAAAGCGTAGTTGAATGCAAATCAGCTGGACCCGCCATTTTTATGTTAAAAAACTACTATTAAATTGATAACTTGCTTCCTTATTATCTCGATGGTAAGGCAAATTCTTTAATAAAGTTTGCGTAATTATGTAGGAATAAATTGGCCTCTCGTTTAAAATTTTTAATAATGATACGGGTAATCAAAATGGCCTCCCCAGCTGACAGTCTAGGTATTATTATATGTCATTGGATATGTCCTATCGATTTTATTTATAAATCATCATTATCCCTTTTCTTATATAAATCTTCCCCAAAAAAATTATTCGATGAATAAAAAAGAAACTTGTTCCCCCTACCCGTGAAGGACGAAATGACCCACGAGATATTTCATAAATTACCGCACATTCACCCGAGCACCCCAATTTTCAAGCTGGAGAACGAGCATTTCAATGATATAGCTCACGCCTACTTGGAAATTGTCCAGCGCATCCCTGGCTTAGTTGATTACGATTATAGGCAACCAAAGAGTCAGCAGCATTTATGGGCTCAAAATATGTTTTGAAAAAAAAAAAATATTGGCGGGAATACATAGCCTCAAATATCCTAGCACCGCCATGACGAATTGGCGCGCAAATAGGGACGTTTCCTTATTTATAAAGATACTTAATTATTTTTAATAAATAAGATATTATTTATTATAACCATAATATCAGAATTATATGTGTATTAACTTTTTTCGAAAAAATTTTTTTTTATATATAATTCTTCTGAAACATGAAATAAAGGGTCCCTCTCGATTTAAAATAAGATAAATAGCTTATTTATTTGGGGAATTGTGGGATCGTAAGACCAGAATATTCGGTAGATATTTTAAACTCAGTAATTTTTCGGGTTCGTATGACAATTATTTATATTCGAAATAAGATAGTAATTAGTGTTGATGTTAAAAGATACTTAAATGGATCTAGATACAGATACATCTTCTAAAATAATATCTAGATACAGATATTTTTATCAAAAATCTATCTAGATACAGATACCACATTTTTATATCTAGATACTTGTATCTAGATCCTTTAACAACTCTGGTAATTAGTGTTGTTAAAGGGCTCGTTTTGAGCCGATTTTTAAAAACGGCTAACTCAATATATCATCCAGAAAATTATTACGCTAGCCTGAAAATTTTGCTCATTGAAGGAACAAAGGTCTGGACATATATTATCGAAATTTCCAGGGCTTAGGACAATATTTTTCTAGCTAAAATATTGAATTAACCGTTTCAAAAAAAATAGGCTTCAATAACGAGCCGTTTAATAACACTAATAATAATGATGTCTTAAATGTAATTTTTTTTAATGATTTATATATATATAACTAAATATCGCCTCAGAATAGTAAACATTTTTAAATATTAAATTGAACATATTATATCACAACATTTACCATAAAACTTGGAATAATGAAAGCCTCGCGTATGTCTGAGATGATGTGTTGGGGCTGAAATTTTATATAAAACGAAAGGGCTTCTTTCTCGGGTTTTTTTGATAGTTTTTGGCAATGACATATAATAATACCTAGACTGACGATTCATTCATTAAAATGCATTTTTAAGCGTCGTTAAAAGCAAATCAGCTGGACCCGCCATTTTGGTAACCTTTATAATAATTATTTTCATGTTAAAAACTAATATTAAATTGATAACTTTTCTTATTATCTCGATGATCAGGCAATTCTTTAATAAAATTTGCATCAGATATAATATAAAATTAGGCTCTCGTTTAAAATTTTAATATTTATTACAGTAACCAAGATGGCGTCTCTAGCTGATTTGTATTGATGTACACTTTTAATGAATGAATCGTCAGTCTAGGTATTATTATATGTCATTGGTTTTTGGAATTAAATTTTATCGATGTTTTGAACGCGACCAAAATTTTTTTGACATCTTTTTAAAAAAAACAGCTGGGTTTTTTAGGTGAAAGAAAGCATGTTTCGGGTGCGTTAAATGATAGCAAGCCAAAAAAAAAATTGAGCGATACAAAATATCATTTCAAAATAATGGTTTCTTATTTTAATAGTTAACGGGATATATATATATTTATTCATTCATTTTAGGCGTTGCTCTAAGACTCGTCCTTTAAAAAAACTTTATTGCCCCAGATTAAGGAATAATAAATTGAAGGGGTATTATGAATCTTTTCCTATTTGTTTTAATTATTTTATAAAATTGATTTTTTTTTAAAAAAAAAAATGGAATATTTAGATATGACATTAGGTAAAGGCTACCTTTTCTTGCAGTTATTCTCATAAGAAATTCTTGAAATTAATTTTTTTTTTATCCCATGTGTCACTATAGTTTTTTTAGGTAAGCGGAAAATCATTCCCTGGAAAAAAAATCTCCAGTAATAATTCTTAGAAAATAATTCTTCTGAATCGATTTTCTTAAAAAAATTTTAAACATTTTATTTGAGGATTTTCATATCGGCTATATATTTATTGGAATTTTTTCTCCTATTTTATTAATTTTTTTTATTTCGAGGATTTATTTTCCTAGATTCCTTTAATATATTGTATGACCTAAAGATTAGAAAATTTGTTTTTAAAATTAATTATTCTTGTTCATTGATGTACGTATAAAAGCGGTTAATGTTAGACTTGCTAAGTCTAGATAATAGCAATTTTTAAAAAAATAATAAAATTACCAACCTATAATTGCTAAACATTGGGTAATGGCTAAATATCGACTTATTCGGGTCAATCTTCGGGCTTTTGCCGGAGAAAATCCGTATATTTCTAGGCGATTCGCTGCTATCTTTAACCCCCGATGCCAAAGTGATAATTTTCTGCTGAAAAGTTGGTTTAGCCTATATTTTAGCCGGGTTAAAATAATATAGTACGACTATACTAAATAACGACAAAAATATATTAAAAAATGCAATAAGACTTATTATTTTTAAATATATATTGACGGAATCACGTGGTCGAGTCCGATCTACTATATATCACAGGCGCGTACGCAGCGGGGGGGGGACAGGGGGACAAATCCCCCCCCAAAGCCAAAAAATGCAGATGCCGGATTATATTTTTCAAAAATATTATTGTTAATATTAATTTATATTTGTTAATATTTATTCTTATCTCATATATACATATATATATTTTATTTATCACATTCATCTACTAAGTTATTTTATCAATCAATCTCGATTTCAAGTTTTCCTTGGCGTAATTTACCTATTATTTTCAAATTTTAGTGGCGTAATATTTATCTAAATTTTTAATAAAATAATAATTATCCCAGAAACTCCTTGTCCAACAGGGAGAAAAAAATTGCAAGCTTGTCCAACGAGATCGAGTCTTCGCCACAGTAACAGCTATTTTGGAGTTAGAAGAGCTGATTATTAATGCTATTACTGAAATATCACAATGGCTTGAAAGAAATATTTCCTCAGAAGCAAGAAAATTATTGGATTCAATACTTATTCCAAATTTTTTTTCTCATTAGAATGTATTATTTAATTATACAACTATTTTATGTAATACTTTTCAAAAACATAACATTGACTTGATTAAGAAGATGAGAATAGCGGAGAGCATTTTATTAGAACTCAAGGAAATAGAGCTAGTGTTGTTGAAGAATTTCTTATTTTATATGTTATTGTTGAGTCAAAAGCAGAGCTATCTGATTTGTCCCCCTCGACTTGCAGCAAGCAAGCTCATCATCAAAACATTAATATAGGATCAGTAGAAGAGTATTATAAAACAAATGTCCCCTCTCCCAACCTTTTTCATATGGTGATAGAAAAAAAATCTAAATATTTGTTATATTTTTATCCTGAAGATGTTAAAATATCTTATAATGCCTTATTAGCTGAATAACTATGATTAAAAGATTAACTATGGTTGATACAGTCCCAAAAAATGCTATGGATGCTTTTTATTTCAAACACATTTTAGATTATACTCCCAATTATTAAAATGGTTATATATATATTAGCAGCTCTTTAGTAAACTAATGAGAGAACATTCACTTTTTTAAGAAGAATAAAAGAGCCTTGCAGAGGTACCATTTGCAGGACCAGGCCCAGATTTTATTTTAAAATTTTTTCCGGCCCGGGTTTTTTTTAAAAAAATTTTCAGGCCCGGCCCGGCTAGCCCAACCCGAATTTTTTAAAATAAATTATATTTATTTTTGATATTTATAGCTAATAATGGCGATTTCAAATATTTGGTTTTAAAATATACAACTCGGCTCGGATATTTTTTCTTAAAAAATTTTCAGGCCCAGCCCGGGTGTTTTTAAAAAAAAAATTACGAGCCCGGCCCGGGTATATTTAAAAAAATTAAAATACGGTCCGGCTCAGGGGCCGGGCCTGCAAGTCTGTGAAAAACATACCTATGAAATACAACATCTGAAAGTAGATTGAATGATTTGGATCTTTTGAATATTCATAGACATTTAACGCCAAGCAAGGATTGATAATTGAAAAATTAGCTCAAAACATACAAAATACAATTATTCCTAAGAAACGTTTTGTGTATTAATTTATATTTACAACATTTAAATTTTTTATACTTTATATATTTTAAAAGCTCAAAAAATTCAAATTTCAATTTTGGGTCATTTAAGTGATTCATATCGTGGGTTATATTCACTTTATATTTTATGATTCACATTTAAATGCCGGTTTATATACTTTTTTTTAATTCACAATAGTTTAAAATTGTGTATTAGAAAAGTTATTAATCCTAATAAATTTATGCTTAGTATTTTTAATTAAAAATATTATTTCTTAAAATAATTTATTATCCCCCCCCCAGACCAAATTCCTGCGTACGCGCCTGATATATCACCTTCCCACCCCCCCCCCCTTCCTTAAATACAGAACTACCAAGTTGACTTCAGGAAAAAAAAACATAATCCTTGCCTGATACGAACCCAGAAAGATGAGAGTGGCAGGAGCCTCTCTTATAGACTAAGCCCCATGAAAATCATGATTTTTTAAATATATATAATCAAATTTGCCAATTTCTATCTAAATGAAAAATAAACAAAATAATGCCAATCGAAGACTGTCTTAGTCAGTCTCTATCATAAACTTAATAAATTCCAGCCCCAAATGACGAAATTTTCAAAAGAATCTACTTGTAGTATATACTTCTGCCATAATCGCGACGCAATGAAAAAATAGCGTGCAAACGTTTGGGACTCGAAAGATGGTGAATTATGTCTGGGCAGGATGAAGCAGGGGAATCTACCCGAGGTCCGAAGCGATTCGGAGATACAAATCGATCATCAAACAAGGGTATAGGGGTGAAAGACTAATCGAACCATCTAGTAGCTGGTTCTCCCTTTCCCTCAGGATAGCTGATATTCGGAATAAAACAGTTTTAATCCTTGTAAAGCGAATAATTAGAGATCAAAACGATCTCTGCCTATTCTCAAACTTTAAAGGGGTAAAAAGCTCACGCCGCTCAACTGGATGGACACCTTTTAATCTCTTGTGGATCTTATTTATTTCCTTTAAAATTAGCAATATTTTTGCGAATTATATAAATTTTATTTTGCGAGTATACATGAAATTTATTGTATAATTAATTTGGATATTATGAATGAAATTAGAAGAATTCATATGATTATTTAAAGCGTTTTTATATATTATGTTCCAGGGTTATATTTATATGCGCAATAAATTTGTAGATTTTGTACCTTGATTTTTTTATTATCAAAATATGTTAACATGTTTGATGTGTCTTTAATCGTAAAAAGTATCAATTA